AATCAAGTCGATAATTGGGGAGAATCGATTATGAGCATGGTTATTACCCTTGGCAACACCGATCTTCTGCGCATGTTTCTTGCTCACGGCGGCAATCCGAACAAGAAAGTCAAGGATACAACATTCTTACTCTACGCCATCGACCAGAATAGACACGAGGACGTCAAAGTTCTTCTCCTACACGGAGCGAACCCGAACGAAGCAGATCCCAAGGGCAGAACCCCCTTGCTCGAAGCGCTTCAGTCAGAAAACCACGTCATTCTACAAGCAGTTCTTGCCCACGGCGCAGATGTCAACAAGATGGGTCAGATCAAGCCGTTGGCATTGGCAAGATTGCTTCAGAATCAGGAGACCATCAAGTCGTTGACGGACCGTGGTGCCCAAGCCCCAGAGCGGCCTGCGGCGGCGAGAGCACCGTCAACGCCTGTCAGCCCGAGGCGGCCAGTCTCGTCGTCTACTACCCAGATTCAACCAGTTCAAAGTGCGACGGATATGCCACCGCCCTACGTGGAGACCAGTGGTTTGGAGGAAGCTGGGGCGTCGAGTCCACCAAGCAGCGCCAGAAGACTTGTACCAGTTGGCTCTCTCAGCTTGCAAAAGTCAACGTAAACGCCAGGAATTGCGTCTCAGGGTAATAGAGAGTTGGAGTTTTGGGAGGTGCTCGAGGCCTGGAGGACACTGCGGGAAGGAAGGAGTGATGCATTTGGTGGTCATACTTCTTAAGTACACTGTAATAATACCAGATTCTGAACATGGCATTTATCAAATACTGTCACGCAGTAATCTTAGCGCGGGGCAAGTATTTCTGAATAAGAGAGCACGACTGAAGCATGGCTTGAGGGTTTTGTGCTAAATTTTGCTTGTATCAATCACTACTTATTGCAAAATCATATGGTGATTCTGGCTAGAACCCAGCTATCTTAAATGCACGGTGACGAACCTTCATCTTGGATAGCAGTCTTGATAATCTGCTCTAGCCCCTCTCTGCCTATCGGCTCAATGCCGAGCAGCTTGTTGTCAGTCACAGGAAAATAACCAGCCTCTGTGCCAATGAAAGCACAGTTAATGAACATTTCAACCACTTCTTCGCTGTGATCCCCCTTGTTCCATCTTTCGTGAGCGATCTTCTCCAATACCTCAGTTCTTGAATGCTTGATTTCCCATTCCCCTATTGGGTCAATGCTTTTGGAAATTTCAACGATCTCATTTTGTGTCGTTTCGACACTGCTAATCTTTACCGGGCGGTTCGCTGTCTCTTCGAGATGAGTGAGGATGCCGATGACAGCTTGTCCGATATGCGGCATGGTCGTTGCACAGAATGTGACATTGCCACCATCCTTGATGTGAGCTTTCTTGCCCTTCACATCCACAAGGAAGTCAAGTGCGTACCCAGGCGCCAAGAAAGAGACATTCATGATGATGGTGTACGAGAATGATGGCCTTGCAACTACCTTTTCATCAAGGTACTTGCGGATTGCAATCTTGGGCTGGTAGATGGGTATGACGGCTAGCTTGGGGTTCATGGTGTCATTACCATACTCGGAAGGAATCATTCTTCGTATGCCTGCGTTGAAAGCTGCATCGACAACGTTCCTCTGAATATGGATTGCGTCGAATGCCAAGGCTGAAACTAGAGCGTCTTGTCCTCTGAGGGCAGCTTCGAGACTGGGGACTGACTCGTAGTCGACTTTCTTCACTGTAACGCCAGCAGGGAATTCGTGGCGAGACCCCTCACGAGTGAGAACAGTGAGCTCAAATAATTCTGACTTCTGTAGAACATCAAGTAGAACACGTCCTAAGAAACCGTTCGCCTACAACCTTCGTCAATTTGTGACACTTTGATCATTTATTTGCTCGAGGGGCATGATTGACTTACACCTGCAAGGGCAACATGCTTGATTGGAGTTGACATATCGACAGATCGTCTGTGCGAGGAACTCCCAAAGCGGTGGTGAAGGAGGATTTGGTTCTTGGAATGTTGCGTTTAGCTAGTCGTGGGATAAACCCGTGAAGGTCGGGGACTAGTAAGGCTATGAAGATTAGGGGACTAGTTCAAAGAAGCATGACAGCCATATTTAATAACAAACGGCTATGACGGCTTCGCTTCCTCGACTTTATTTTCGATTGATACACATATTCAGACCCGACGTCTCGGCCTGCATCACGCCGGGGTCATCACACAGCCCGTGTAAGCCCACACTTTAGAGTTCACCGGGACCGCCTGTCGGACAGACGGGTCACCGGCGACGGGTTTCTGCCCGTTTGGAAATACCGCACTCAACGGAGCTCTGGAAGCAAGGCCAAGGAAACGACGATCTGGAGTCTCAGGAGCGGGATTGCCCCGGTGAAAAACGCGCGCTGTGCAGGAGGATTGGAGGACTATCGTATGATTGCACCGGGCAACGAAGCATCGTACCAAATAAATGACAACTGATGACCCTGGTGCCATCCCAGCTTGATCCAGCTTGGCTGTCACGAAACTAGGACGAGGTCAGGTTGAACAGCAAAAACCAAGGCTTCAAGTGCCTCCTTGTTAGAACTGGGTTGTTGACACGTCAGGTGAGCACTGAGCACCGAGACCAAAGGTGTGGGTATGGACGTGCAACGATCAAGCATTTGAGAGGACGGAAGTACTTGCCGTTGAAGTGGAGGATATGCGAGCCCGATGGTGTCTTGCAGCGGAATTAATGTGTCTAAGTCTATTGATGGGGACAAGACAACGAAGGAGCCTTAGGTATAAAAGTCCTCGTACCCTTCAACTGGTGCCCTTGTGGTACAGAGGTGCTGATTGAACCGAATTTACATCAAAAGTCTTGACAGGCACAAGCACATATCACCATACCATCTTGAAGCCGTCTCTCGTAATTATGTTAATCCCCATTTTGACGCTGATTGCGTCTCTTGCAACTGTTTTCTACTCTCTTTACATCATCGTTTCTACACACATTCTGCGTCACCGCATGAAGAGAGAATATGGCACACTTCCGCCCAAAAAGCTACCTCAAAAAGATCCCATGTTTGGAACTGACGTGGTAGTTCAAAATCTGGCTGCTGCAAAGAAGTTCGGCTTCCTCGCTCTCTTGAAGAAGCGCCATGCCGAGCAAGGCCAGACTTTCACCACGAACACATACCTCCGGACTACCATCAACACTTGTGACCCAAAGTTAATCCAGACTGTGCTATTTAATCAGTTTGAAGACTTTGGAATGGGTCCTTTGAGAAGGAAGAGTGCATCACCCCTTCTTGGCCGAGGCATTTTCACCACCGACAACGAGATCTGGGCCAATCAGAGGGCACTCATCAGACCAAGCTTCATCCGCGCTCAGGTGACAGATTTCAGCATCTTTGAAACACACGTCGACCAGCTTATACAGTTGATTGCGTGGGAGAATTACAATGTAGATCTACAACAGTTATTTTTCCGCATGGTACGTCAATTTTACCGCGACAGCCACTTTTGTCTTTGACTTTGGGATAGCTGATATTCACATGTACACATGTAGGTTCTTGACTCAAACAGCGAATACCTTTTTGGAGAATCGGTTGGTTTGATGTCAGATCACGCTTCCGACTCTGCCCATACTTTCCACCATGCTCTGGATTATGCCCAACAAGGAACAATTCTCCGACTTCGCCTCGGTAATTTGATGTTCGCACACAGAGACGCCAAGTTCAGGGATTCATGTGGCATTGTGCACGCATATGCCGACAAATTTGTCAAGCAAGCCCTCGAGTTCCGCGAGCACGAGAAGCTTTACCCTACGGAGAAGAAAGACGAGTACGCTCGCACGAAATACGTTTTCCTCAACGAGTTGGCCAAAGACACCGACAACCCAATCATGCTCCGCGACCAAATCGTCAACATGCTGCTCGCGGCCAGGGACACAACAGCAGGACTGCTAGCATTCGCCTTCTTCTTGCTGGCACGGAACCCCAAGGTCTGGGACAAGCTCAGGGCGGACGTGCTTGAAAATTACACCGAGCCATTGACCTACGATGCTGTCATGCAAATGACATATCTACGCTACGTGCTTCAAGAAAGTGAGTTTGCAGGCCGCCTACCGATCTTCCCTGTTACATGACTTCATCCGGCTAACCTCAACCTCAGCTCTTCGTCTCTTCCCTCCTATTGCCACTAATAGCCGCATGGCCAACAAAGACTGCGTGATTCCGGTTGGCGGTGGTCCCGACGGACGCTCGCCAATGTTCGTTGCCAAGAATAATGTGGTCACTTACAGCACATTCGTTATGCACCGCCGTCCAGAACTCTTCGGGCCTGATGCTGAGGAATTCATCCCGGAGCGCTGGGAAACCCTCCGACCAGGCTGGGAGTATCTGCCCTTCAACGGTGGTCCTCGAGTTTGTCCTGGTCAGAAGTTCGCCCTCACCGAGTCCTCATACACCATTGCAAGGTTGTTGCATGCGTTCTCCGGGATTGAAAATCTGGATCCGACTGACTGGCGCGAGCAACTCACCTTATCCCTGACGTTGAACAATGGGGTAAAGGTGCGACTCCACCCGGAAGCTAAGGGACCCTGAAGTTGTCTCTTTCATAGCCTCGAACAATACCAGGTTGTTTGCATGGAACCTTTCTTCGCTTAGCACGCCTTGTTACATAGAAATTTCAAGAATTCAGACCAGTCGAATAGTTCAAAAAAAAAAGTGACGAGAAATCCATCAAAGTTTTTGACCCTTTCAGTCAGTGACATCTGACTGACCTGATCTTCTCGAACCATCGATACGTCCCGTAAAATAACACGGTGCCTCGCTGACAGTGCAGCTACTTAGCACGCCATGCGATGCAGGTCTCAGTACCTGTAGATTAGCTGAAAGACGAGTATTTGAAGTACTGTATCTTAAGTGGGACAAGGTTGTAACGGCTTCTGGGCTTGACTATCGTGGCATCGAATGTTGCCACAAACAGGCAGCTGCGACTCAATGAGTCGTCTAAGTACACGTATGTGAAAGCCAACGTAGCATTTCCCAAGAGACGTTGAATGCAAACCCAGAGACTCCAACATGTCACCAGGATATCGCAGCACATACAAATAGCCTAAGAAGGCGGGTAAGGAGAACGCCAAGGCGGTACCCTAATATGCTAGAGTTACGGGTGCAGCAAGGATTCAGTCCGAAGAGCATCACCTTCATATCCCTGAGGATTACAACTCTTCACCGCCATGGTACAATTGACATGCCACCTGAATGGTAACGTCTCGTCCCAAATTTAGATGACACGACAGGGCTTGACGTTCTCGAACATCCAAGCACTGGGTAGCTCCCGCTTTCTCGCCTCGACTTCCCCGTTCACATAATCTTCAAGTCGAAGCCCACCAATCAGAATGAACTCATACTCTCTGCTATTATTCGAAAAACCTATAGCTAAATGAGTAATGGCTACCACAATCGGTCACACTTCACCTTTGAAGCCAAGAACGGTCGCGGGAAAATGGGGCAACAAACATCTCTGAAGACTACCCTTGGAAAGTTTAAATCCCTCCCCCCGCTTCAGAGCAGACTTTAGCCCACCTCCACCGGGTTTGAGTCAGTTGAAATAAGCGAAGGCCTGCTGCAGGACTCATTGAGTCTCGGAGACGTTGAGATGTTCCGATCATCTAGGAGTTTGACCCTCGGACAAGTTAGAGTTTATGTTGTGGTCTTTCCTTTGACTGCCCAGCCTGCTGTGCTTCGTCCAATACTCCGCATGGTGTTTCGACCGAGCTCAAAGACTTGCTCGTACGTAAGCGCATCGTTAATCCGGTCTCACCTCGAGTCTTTCCACCGCTTCTGGTGCGTCATTTGCGGCCTTGGCCAAGAAAGTGTAGCATCGCGACCATGTCTGCGCAATGTAGAAGGTCGTATTAGCCCTGGGCAGCGGTGGAACTCAGACGGGCCAAGAGAATTGAAATTGTTTCTGCAACATCGTGTAAGCCGATTAACTAAGCGGGCGCGCCTCTTATGATCACTGGATCTTGCGTGTGATTGTACATAGTTCACTAAGGTGAACTCTAAAGCAATTGACCACGCTGAGTTGGCCCTTGGTTCCGAAGCCCGCGACTGATGATTCCGAGAAGCATCTTTAGTTATACTACCTAGTTGCTGATCTTTCTGCGACACTCTTCTCATTTCTTTACTCCGCTCTCCCCTGATTCTTCCGTCAAATAACACCATGTGCGGGATCACGGCAACTATCAAGCTACGACGAACCGCCACACTCGCCAAAAGAAATCGGAATACAATTGTCCATGAGCACAGCCATAACGGCTCGCCAACCCGCCAGGCTTTGCACAATAGGTTGGCGCAAAGTCTTGCAAGCATTGCTCATCGAGGGCCGGATGCTGAGGGCATCTGGATTAGTGACGACGGAGCCATCGGTATGACCATATCACTCAGGCTAAGTTCCTTTGACTGACTTCGATATTGTAGGCCTTGGTCACCGTCGTCTTGCTATCAATGACCTGACGTCTGACGGTGTGCAACCTCTGCACAGCGATGACGGAAAGATTCATGCCGTCGTCAATGGTGAGATCTATGACCACGACGCTATCAGAGAACGGTGCATCCAGGATCATGGATATCAGTTTAAGGGCCATTGCGATAGCGAAGTGTTGATCGCGCTGTATAAGATTTACGGAGCTCCTGGGTTCTTTGAACATTTGAGAGGAGAATTCTCGTTTGTCATTTTTGATGAGAGAGATGGGCGGGTGATTACTGCCCGCGATCGCTTCGGTATCAAGCCAATGTACTGGACTGTTGTCGGCAACGGCTCAGAGCAACAGCTTCTCCTGACATCTGAGGTCAAAGGCTTTTTACCCCTTGGCTGGGAGCCAGAGTGGAACGTGTCTGGTCTCATCACCGGCCTTTCTCTCCAGGCTGAACATACGGTCTACAAAAATGTTTGCAAATTGAACCCAGGTTCGTGGATGGAGATCGCTGAAAGTGGTGAGATCAAGCACCATCAATACTGGGATCCTGAGTATAAGGATAAGGTACGTGTCAATCTGAAGCGCCACCTGCTTGAAATTTGAGCTTACAGAGAGCAGCGTGAGATAGAATCGCGTAACTTGGATGATATCATCCTCGAAGTCAGAGAGAGGATCGTAGAAGCTGTAAGACTTCGGCTGCGTGCCGATGTACCAGTAGGCATCTACCTGTCAGGAGGCATTGATTCTTCTGTTGTTGCTGGAATCGTGACAAAACTTGTTCGCGAAGAGGGTGTCATGCTTGGCAACCAAGATGCCACGAAACGGATTTCCTGCTTTAGCATCCAATTCCCTGAGAACTCTGGTTTCAACGAGGCTGGTTTGTTTCCTTGTCAAGTCTATGGTGGACTTCACTCGATTGCGTGTACGAGAACTAATCAGATTGACAGACATCGCACAGCGGACAGCAGACTGGCTAGGTGTACAAATTCTCAAAAAGGACATGAACGAGGAAGAGCTTGCGAAGAACTTTGTGGAATGTGTCTACCACACCGAGCACCATCATTTCGACCTCAACTTCGTAGGCAAATTCTGTCTTTCTACGCTGCCCCGACAATATGGTGTGCCGGTTGTTCTCACAGGTGAAGGCGCTGATGAACATTTCGCCGGGTACCCATTCTTGATGCCGGACTTTCTCCTGGAGCCGGATTACGCGTGGCCAGATTCAGCTTTGGCAAACAATAACCAAGTGAGAGAAGCCATGCAAAGAGAAATGGCAGACGACCTCAAGAAAATGTTCACAAGAGTCGGCATGTTTGATCACGAGTGGGAATCGACGGCTCCACGATCCCGACATCTCGGCATTGGAAATAACGCTCTGAAGTGGCAGCCCCACTCGGACATGTTTGCCCCTTGGGTCCAGGACTCCTACGGGCGGAAGAATATGAGAGTCAGTGTAGCTGAGACCATGTCCCCTGAAGTGCGCAAGAACATGGACGAAAAGTGGCATACGCTGCACTCCTCACTTTACTACTACACTCGCGGTGCCCTTCCCAATATGATTCTCACCTGCTTGGGTGATCGTACCGAAATGGCACACAGCATCGAAGCCCGGCCGCCATTCCTCGACCATCACTTGGCCGAATACGTCAACGGCCTTCCTCCAAGTCTGAAGATTGCCTACAATCAGCCAGAGGGCGACACGGACGGGACAGGGTCAAGTTTATGGTGGAAGAATTTCAGTGCTGCCCGTCAAGCCTTAAGTGAAAAGTGGATTTTGAAGGAGGCTGGCAAGCCTTTCATCACACAAGAGCTGTATGACCGTCGGAAACACCCGTATTCGGCACCTGTCAAGTGGCCTCGAAAAGGGCCTATACACCAGCTCTTCAGAAAGCTAATCACGGAGAGTTCGGTGAGCAACTTGGGGTTTTTGGAGTGGCAGGACGTGAAAAGCTGGCTAGAGCATGGCTTTGGGGATGATTCTGACCCCAACGCCTTTAGAAAATTGGTCATCACTGGATCGTGGGTTGTCCTGAGCCAGAGGTTTGGCGTTAAAAGAGCGGATCGAGTTGCCGAGCCAAGCTGCACATGAATGGTAGAGCCAGTAGCATACCCGTAGACGGTAAATGGCTTCTGAGGAGTCAGCCGGGTGTAGTTAGAAATGCCCGAAAATGCCCGAATTTGGACGCAAACGAGTAGGTGGACAAATATCTTCGGATTTGGGAGAAGGAGTGAGAAAAAGATATGTGTATAAGATGAGTATGTACGGAGTGTATCTACATGTGATAATGTGATATTACAAATCGAAGGAAACTCTCTCTCTGTCTCTCAACCAGATATGTCAGTGTTGTGTGTGGAGAAGACGTATCCAAGCCAAATCGGTTGGAATCCATAGGCCTAGGCTAGGCATCAAGTTGTTGTCCAGCATAGATTCAAGCAGTCAGATGCACGCGTTAGCCATCTCCATCTTCAACTAGATCGGGAGCTCAGTAGTAGCCGCTCTTGTTGTCCTTGCCGTTCTTGTTGTCCTTGCCGTTCTTGTTGTCCTTGCCGTTCTTGTTGTCATCATCCTTCTTATCGTCATTCTTCTTGTCGTCATTCTTCTTGTCGTCATCCTTCTTGTTATCATTCTTTTTATCGTCATCCTTCTTGTCGTCGTTCTTCTTCTTGTCATCCTTCTGGTTGCCCTTTTTCACCTCGTTCTCATCGTCGGAGCAGTCACCCTTCTTGTTGCGCTTGCACTGCTTCTTCTTCTTATCCTTCTTGTCATCGTCAGAGTCAGAGCAATCGCCCTTCTTGTTGCGTTTGCACTGCTTCTTCTTCTTGTCCTTCTTATCGTCATCGGAATCGGTGCAGTAGCCCTTGTTGTTGGTACGCTTGCAATTCTTCTTGCTGTTGCGCTGTTCAAGGGCGCTGACGGCGCCGGCGAAAGCAAGTCCCTCGCCACGAGCCTAATGGATTAAGAAGTTAGTTAAGTGCCCAGCAAATCATACGCCATGTCTTGGGAGGCAGGCACTGGTGTTGTCGATGCTCCAAAACTTACAGCCAGATCGGTGGATCGCTAGGAAACGTCAGCTTATTCGCACATGTGGTCATGGTAGGTAATGAAGGGGTGTTCTTACCTCGACGAGGTCGGCGTCAAGGGGCTCAGCGATAGGGGCAGCCAAGGCAGCGGCAGCGAAGAAAGCCATGCCGATGGTGGCAACCTGTCCAAAAGTAGGGATATGCATTTTGAGATTGGGTTGAGAGTGAGGAGAATTTGAAAAGAGAAAGAGAGTTGGAATGAGTGGTGTGAGTGAGCTGTGTATAAGTGACTGTGATCTTGAGAGTGAGTGTGATGGGGAGGAGAGATATTGTTTTCGAGTGAGAAGATGGCTTATTTATGAGTTTCCATCTCTCTCTTCGAATAGAACGATTTGTGTACAGCATCAACATTGAGAGCTTCGCGTTGTGAGACAGGGCTTCACTTGCGACCGGAATCGGATGAAGCGAGAATGGAATTTGCTTGTGTGGCTTGAAGATCTGTCCCTGGCTCTCGGTTCACGGTCTAGCACGTTCATGAAGATCAAGCCAAGGCCGCTGGTGCCTTCTTGGCAACGAGTTTGCGGTTGCCAAATCATACCAGACCGAGATGCGCCAACGAATTCGCTTCCAAGATCTTGGGTTCGAGGCGCTCGATGCCAAGCTTCGCGGCCTCGACGCTACCACAACGCTCGCCCAATACGTTTTTGTATGGATTTCTTGCTCAAAGCTCGATTTTATTTTCGGGGAGGCCTGTACGCCACAAGCCTAAAGCAGGAATCGAGTTTGAGGCGGTTCACCAGAAAGCTGGCTGAATCAAGCTGAAAGTCTGGATTTATCAACGTGTTTAAGGCTGTAACAAGTAATTGAGAAATCCAAACGACGTATGCGCGCAACTAACGGCGGCTTCTCTTGGCCCGATATGTTTTCTCATTACGAAACCAATCTCATGAATCACAATTCGGGATAGGGGCCAGCAGCCTTTCGTCAAGTGAAATCAATACCACATTTGACTATTCAGGCCTCGAGTCTGACAACATGTGCCCATTGGGAATTTGAGCCCAAGGACTCGAGGATCTGTGAGATTGCTGGAGTAACAATGAAGCGAGCATCGAGTTACCGCTCACAGACTGCGGGTTCATGTCTGAGGGCCGCATCGCGCGAAAGCTTATGCTGAAGCTGAAAAAGGAATGTGGAAATGGAAGAAGGGGCACGCACGAGCTTCGCGGGGTGGCGTACATAGTTGAGATCCCAATCGCTAAGTTTGGCCCGGCGCGACGCCGTTGGCGGGATACCCGCCCGGCTGGTTTCACCAGCCAGAGCGGGAGGTCTAGCTCGTCAAACATGGGGAATGAAAACAAGCTTAAGGTGAACATGGATTTTAACCTTAAAAGTCGATGGACCCGTTGTGCCCACGGTGACCAGACTTGGCACACGTCAACGACTCCTTTGGAGAGGTTCTGTCCAGGTATGAAAACGCTAGATCAGGCGAGTCGGCACGGTGACTTGGCACTCATATAGTAGACCCTAAAGGAAAAGCATGTTGGGTTGTTGCTTCAGGGTGGGGATGGCCACTCCTGTTCAGCTGACGAAAAGATTTTGAGTCCTCGTAGTAAGGTCCTGGCTAACGATCAATGGAACGAGATCACCGCGGCTTGAATCATTCAATGAGCTCAAAAGGGAAATATACGGAGTGCCATGAAAATTAGGCATGAGCGCAATGCTTTCTCATATTGCTAGCTCGCCTGTTGCTGTGTCTATGGAGCAAATGAGAGACTTTTTCTGCCGTCGCTTCCGGCCCTTCTCTATGTGTATGCCCGTCATGAATGCGTTGATGTAAACAAGTTTCCTACGGTTGCCACTGGTTGGCGATGTAAGAGAGTTCCTGACAACTGTTAAGTCGACTCTCTTCTACTCCTCAACCATGTTGTTTCGGTCACTGGAAGGTTGTAAGTAAAGGTGGATGACACAACATTAGCTGATGCGGGAGGGTCTATCAAATATGAACTTACGGTAGTACAAAATCTGGCAGGAAGCAAGCCAGAATAACCCCAGGAGCTGAAGCTCCAACGGCGGTGTAGACCATGAATTTCATGACATCCGTGAACTATGATGTTGTGATATGGAGTTAACTTCATCGAACAGCCGCACAACCGCCTGTCAAGACAAAAGAACTTACTGCGTGGTTAATCGCGTTTCTCTCCGGAGTGCCCCATGCAGGCGCGGTGCCGACAATGGAATCGAACAAAGAGTCGACAAGCTCCGGCGAAGCGCTGGCGCCGAGGTATTTGTACAGCATCGGCTTGAATGTGTTGGTATAGATACCACCAGCTATGCAACCTCCGATACTTCCTCCAATGACGGAACAGCATATTACTAAAGCAGTGATCTGTGGCATCTCGCGGTGAGGCACAACAACCTGCGCAGGAACGAGAATCGATAGTTGCATGATACCGGAACCTAGACCTTGGATCATCTGGACGATGAAGAGCTCTGCCACGGAGTTATCGGCCCCACGGAGGCGAAGCATGACACCGTAGCCAATGAGACGGATGATTGCGCCGCCAATGAGCAGCCACTTGTATCGGCGAGTGTATGCCATTGCCAGGCCGGCGATGATTCCCATCACGCACTGCATCACGCCGTTGGTGTATTGGAAGAAGGTAGCGTCTCGGGCGACGAAGCCGCGGGCGACGGTAGACCAGGAGTAGAGATACGTGTGCGTGCAGGCGAACCCCACTGAGTCACTTGCGATGAGCAAGAGGCAAAGAACGATTGTCTTGTTGCGGAAGTATCGTGTGGGCATAATTGGGTTGCGAGCCAGACGCTGCTCGTAGAATGGTAGCGCCGCGAGGAGCATGACACCAATCACGATCAGGACGATGATGTATGCCGTTCCCCATCTGCTTGGTGTCGATGCTGCCAAAGTCAGCGGTATTAGGACTAATGAGAAGCCCGCGCAGAGAAGTGCCGAGCCGCCCAAGTCGATCTGAGAGCAGAAGCTGTAGAGCGTCGTCTTCTGCCTAGGAGTGAGACCCATGTCCTTGGCCTTCTTTTGGTAGTAAAGCAGGGTCGAGATGATGAATGCGGCGCCGATAGGCATGAGAATTGCGAACATGCCGATGCCCCATCGCCAACCGATACCACCGGGCTTGATGACATCGTCGACAATGAAGGCAGCGGCCCATGGCGTGATGAGAAATGGAAAAAAAGAGAAGCTGAGAGCGAAGCCACGCCAGCGAGCCGTAGTGATATCGGCGATGACGATGTCGTTCATGATGTTTGTGCCTGACTGGCCGACGACATAGAAGACGACGCCTGAAGCATAGGTGTTGAAAGTTGTTGACGTTGCCATGAGGATGTAGCCCAAGACGTAGAAGGATATACTCATGATGTAGGTTTCTCCTCGTCCAATGACGTTGGATAGCTTGGCGACTGGCGGTTTGATAACAGCGAAGACGATGCCGCTGGCGGTGCTTAGGGTTGCTAGCTTGGAAAGAGCTGAGAAGGAGGACGTTGCATAGTTGTTGTAGATGTAGACAGTGGTATTATCGATTTCGCTTCATGATGATTAGCCAGGTGGGTTCAAGGGGAGGAATGATTGAGTCCATGAGAAAGGAAAAATACGGTACTTACTACACAATCATCACCAAGGCCAGACTTGTATAGATATTAGCAATGGCGAGCATACAGGGCAAGTAGTAGTACGTAGTACGGACTTACCCAACAATAACAAGCCATCTTCCCTTTCTCCCCCATAATGTCTGAGCAGCCTGAATAGTGCCAACACCCGACTCAAGAGGCTCGGAGGTATCGAACTTTTTGACATGATCGTGATCTTCAATAGTGTCGTCTGTCTTCCCGGCCAACTCAACGTCCCGAGGTGCTTCCAACGCGGCTATATCCCCGTTGGCGGGGTCTGCCGACGAGGACCCCTCCGCATGGAGGTGTCCCCTCAACGATGTGACAAAGCCCATTGCTTCTCTCTGTTCTTCAGACGTCGGCAGTAGACTCGTCCGCTCGTCACTGTCGTACGAAGACGTGCGGCCGGTTTGCCGGCACATGCTGGGCAGACTGAGGGCAGATGCGAAGAGCTTTAACTATTTTTGAGTCATGCCCGCACTGCAGAAACTACCGCAAACTTCTTGTCCAAGGTTCAATGATTATCAGTTGAGACGGCTCCCTGAACCTTGTGTAGAAGCAATTGGAGAAACAAAAAAAAGGCACAGATGACTGGTCGACAATTGAAAACATCGGCTTAGAATGAACCGACAAACCTCCCAACGACAGAAGGATTCTAAAGGCTGTGCTTACTTTACCTTTGCGGGAAGGCTGTTATGTTCTTCACGGTCGTTATCTTGCGCCCACCGGCCAATTGCTCGCGCGGGGTCGGCGCGGAGAGGGGAGGAGCCTATCAAATCGGGGACATTGTCATCCCTCGTGCATCCTCCGAGGTGTCGTGTGATAGCACTCGGTGATAGCGTCTGAATGATTCGGTATCCGAAGCTATCTGCACATCGTCCGATGTATGGGGTAGGATCAGGCACCATGTCTTCCCTTACAGTAACGATGTGCGATGGGAGGACCCGGGCGCTTCTAGACGTTTACCATGTATGGGATGGGGATGCTCGACCCTATGAAAATCACAAACCGGTGGGATTCTTGGTGTTGAACTACTGTTGGCTTTAAGATATGGCGCCCGGCAAAAATGGACCGACCGGCCGGGTTAGACCCTGAAGCCAAATCCCAAGATCGCTCCACTGATCCCCCCGAAGCCGCTCGCAGTTCAAAGTGGGAATCCCCCCGATGTTATCGGCGACCGAAGCCTCGACTCGACGCAGATGGGGCCGCCCGCTCCGTCATTCTGGATCCGCCCGGCCGGTCAACCTTTCTTGGGCTTAAGGTAAACTGTCACAGGAGGAGGATGTCACCTCGAGATCTCGAGGGGGTCGTGCGATTGGCTCTGGAACCCGTGTCACTTGATCTCAAAAGCGCGGGAGATGGCTTGGGGATTAGCGTCAACGTGGCCAAATGAGATGCCCGGAAACTGAATCAAGGGTGCCGGCGCCCTGCAAACTCTCTTTGCCCGACAGCCCTGATAATCAGATGAAAAAGATAATGCACAAACGTTTGGGGGATCAGCATAGCACAGCTGCCGCAACACCCCTACTTTCCCCCCTTATCTACCCTTGATTCGTACGAGCCAAGACTGGGCTCACTCGAGAGACCACTCACGCACAGGACAGCGCTAATCCTAAACAAGCCAGCAAGATGCCGGCTTTCACAGGAGTCGTGTTTGGCTGCTGAGTCGGTGATCCGGGAACCATGGGGACCCCCACAGAAAGATCAGCTGGGCTCATTGTGAAATACAGCCGGTCCGGGTAGCTCAACGCTTTCTTATCCCCTTTCCCTCGCTGTCTGACTGGAATCACTCCCGAGGCTACCACCAAGCAGAACATCGTGTTGAACTGCCATGGACAGCAAGTTTTCGTCAGGATTTCCGTGGCCCAAAGAGGCTACTAGGCCAGGGAGCAAGTGTAGAACAGCGGTCACCGCTGCTCTATCAGTGCTCACTGTTACGGCGCTTATCAGAGGGAACTTCTTCCGAGGTCCATGGTCTCTGGCTGGGCGTGGAAACACAGTCAAACAAGCTGCTGATTCAGAATGGACCTGGTCAAGCGTACGTCGAGATATCAGTCGCAACATTGATCTCGAAGAAAGACTGACAAGCTTCTCAGATCAAGCCGAGTCGGACCCTGGAGTGGCACAGCTGCTTCGAGAACGGAGAATATGACTGCGCCAGACTAGACGTTAGTGCCCGAGAATCCGTACCCACAAAACTCCTAGCGTGTCTAACAGACTATCTCTCAGGTCCCCATGGACTGGCAAGAACCGTCAGATGACCACCGAGTTGTCCTTGCAATTACGAGAATCCGGGCAACGGACAAGTCTGACTATAGAGGGCCAGTCATATTTAACCCCGGTGTAAGCAAACATGTCAATATCCCCTCCCAAGACATCAACGGTGCGCTAAAACCCGTATCCAGGGTCCCGGTGGCTCAGGGGTTTGGTCCCTGAAAAACCATGGCAAAATGCTACAGGAGATTATTGGTGCAAACCACGTAAGTCTGAACAAGTACCGATCTCGTCAATATCATTGGTTCGGAAAGACTTACATTATTTAGGATCTCATCAGTTTTGATCCCAGAGGTGGTAAGTCTTATCTCTAAATACACAAAATGAGGACGATTGCTAATATGCTGGGACAGTTGGCGCATCCATCCCCAGAATCCAGTGCTGGTCAACACCACAACAGCGCCAAAACTGGGGTCTCCAAGACCCTGGAGTTCTCGACTCCCATGAAGGCATCGTCGGAGAACTCTTTGCCCGGGCGACGGCATACTCCCAAGCATGCGAGAGCGCGATGAAAGCGTCCGGTATACTCGAACACTCCAGCACCACCCCGACCGCCAGGGATATGCTCGAGATTGTGTACCAGACCGGGTACAGCAAGCTCAAGTACTGGGGCTTCAGCTACGGCACCATCCTCGGCGGTGTTTTCGCGGCCATGTATCCGGACAAGGTAGAACGTCTGGTCAGCGATGGTAACGTTGACTACAGAGAGTGGTTTAACTCGGAACACGTCAACTTCATTCGCGACACGGACAAGGTTCTCTTCGCCTTTTACGAGTTTTGCTATCAAGCTGGGCCCGAAAAATGCGCCTTCCACGGTCCCACTTCGGAAGCCATCATGGGGAGGTTTGTTGACCTGCTCAACGCTCTTAAGAGGCACCCAGTCATCGTCCCGGCCGATCCAGAGGAAGGTCCTGAAGTACCTGTGCTAGTCACCTACTCCAAGGTCATGCGCCTTCTCTCGACCACGCTTTACCAGCCATTGGAGCAATTTGGAAATTTCGCCAACATCATTGCCGCGCTCGAGAAGAAGGATGGGCGGCCATACTACAGGCGCTATAACCCGAGCAAGCCCGCCCCAGCCCCGGCTTGCGCCCCGCAGCCGGTCTCTCCGTTCGAGCCGCCTCCGGGTATTGTCGAAGGCACCGGAGATGCCTTCCCCGTCATCATGTGTGCCGATCACCCCGCCGTCAGTAACATGACTCTCGAGGAAATTCAACGAGAGACAGATGGGATTTTGGAGCTGAGCCCAGGAACTGGAGCCACGGAGGTGCCATACCAGATGACTTGCAACCAGCGAACTACGCGTCCCCGCTGGCGATTCGGTGGTAAGTCCAGCAGGAGTTGTAAGATAAACCTAGGTATCTCTACGCTAACTCGGTTCAGGACCATTTGAGGGCAAGACTAGCCACCCTATCTTGTTCATCGCTAACCAGGCCGACAACATCACTCCGCTAGTCAGCGCTCGCAACAACTCTGTTGGGTTCCCTGGGTCAAGACTTCTGATCCAAAACTCATTTGGCGTGAGTATCCTGTGGAAAAAATTCTTTCTATTCGCATAGAAGACCGACCATGCCAAGACCCGAGAGCTGATTGTCTTTATTCATAGCATACAACTCTCGCAGCCCCATCAGAATGCACCAGAGGATACATCAGGGCTTACTTCCAAAATGGAACACTGCCGGAGCCTGATACAAAGTGCGAAGGCGACTCGCATCCATTCGGCCCTTTTGCCGAAGCTGGTGTTCAATTCTACCAACCAACGCTGTTTATGTAGCTCGGATGATGCCATTTGATTCTTAGATCTAGAGACTAGATACGCAAAGTAAAGTCTGCGTAGATATAGAAACCTCTTTTCTTCTTTTTAAGCGCTGCGGTCATGTTTTGCTTCACGTTGCCACGTCGTTGGCTGACTGTTGCCCAGGCCTCTCGGCTCGACTCATTCGATGGTTATTCTAATCAAGAAGATAAATTTGATTATGGGTATTGATACGACAAAGGAATTGATCTGGAGAACCATGTATCACAAACCGACATGTTGCATTTGACTTCAACCGCCTATTGTGTCTTATGCATTTCGGAATCCGCGGGCATCTCGTATACCATGTGGTCGTCCGGCGCTTCGTGCCTGACTGGATGACGTTCCGTGGACTCAATCTCATGCGACAACGGCGTCCCCATCTCACTGAGAGGCGACCGTGAATCCAACTCGCTGAGATGGCTCCCTTCCTTCAGAACCTTTGGTTCCGCCTGATGTCTCATATGTATCTCTCCGTTTCCCCCAGTCTCGGCCATCGAGCTCGTCTGGCTCGCTACCTGCGTCCTCTGGCTCTTGCCCCTCTTCTCGTTGAACCATAAAAACGCCTTGTCAACGGCATCTGGCGGGGAGTCAGGTCCCTTCTTCTGCTTTCTGCGGCGGCGCAAGAACCATAGTACTGCCAGGACCGCCCCTATTACCCCGACTGCGATTCCAATCTTTTCTCCGGCTGCCAATCCCTTATCGCCGGTGTCGAAGCTCTGGAGAACTTGTCCTTTATCCCAAGCGTCGCCCCATGTCGTGACAAATGACTCAGCCGGGTTGGTACTGATGGCGGAGCCGTCGAACTTCTTCACGATGCTCTGCTCCATGCGTGGGCCCGGGGCTTGCGCCATGTAGGTGACATTGGATTCGTAGTCGACGGCGAGGAATGCGGCTTGGAGAAAGGCGCGACCCAGCTGCCAGAAGCCGTAGCTTGAGTTGATGGATTTGCAAGGGAAGTAGCTGGCCTTCTGCTCGACCAGAGGCGGTTCTAAGGTAAGGTTGAGGAGCTGGAAGGGGACTTTGATGGTCATGTTTGTTGCGCTCGAATCGGCCAGGATGAAGCCGAGGTACGCTGACTGGTTGACGAATAGTTGAGCACTCAAGTCAGTTTCCCAGAGGTAAAGCCCTGACTTGTTGTGGTACGTCATGTGAAGATTCTCTGCTATGGCTTCGCAGATCCCGGGCGGTAGATAGATGTATGGGGAAACCGGATTTGGGACCACGACCGCCGACCCAGCAGCGCCGCCAACGTATTTGGTGTATTGCATGCCGAGGTCTGTGGGATTCGTCCAAAAGCTCACGTTCGACTTGATCGGATAGAGAGACTGGTTTCGTATTTGAAAGTCGAAGATGATATCCCTAAGGAACATCATCGGCGTCGAATCCTGAAGTGCAAAAGTGCCAACCTGGCCGAGCGCCCTGTTCTGCTCGTACCCACCGAGCACTAGGGATCCAGGAATACCGAGAGCGGCACTCCCCATCTGCACGCTGAACGCGGTCCTGTCGATGTCGCTCGAGGCCTTGAGCTGTTGGAGGATTCCTGGCGGGGCCGTGTCATCTTCTCTCTCACTCCTTGGCCCGAGTCCAAGTGTGCCGACCTTCGGCGTGTAGGCAGTCGTGTTTGAGGTGGTAGAGCTGTTCCACGACGTTGCGGCTACCAAAGTCGCGTTAACCTTGATTTCGTGACTGGTTCCTAACCTCGAGTCGATCACCATGCTGTCCCAGTACTCCATTCCTGCCCAGCCCGCCTCCATAAAGACGCTGCCGAACCAGCCATCGGTGTAGGCTCTCATCGTTGCCGTCTTGACGGTGTCAGCGCGCGGCGTATAATCTCCACCCACAGATTTCGTCAGGATCTCAGAAACACTAGAGCCGCCCGGCCAAAGAGGCATCTCAGTGCCGTTGAGCTTGAGGATTGGCGCCTGCCATGGCCCGTCGGGGCCATAGGTTCCATTCTCGTTCCCTCCAATATCGGTCGACCAGCGAAGTTGAATTTGCGCGCTGGCGCTGGCGACGGCGGCCGCGGCGAACGAGATACGACGCAGCAGCATGGCCGACGTTTGTCAAACGTCTCGAATGATACTTTGACTGGATGATTTAGGTTGACATTCGGGATTGAGTTTAGGATCCACGCGTGAAAGGTGAGAAATGGTAGACTGATAGACAAAAATGTCAACAGAAACCAGAGAAGCAGAATGAGAGTCCAAGTGCCGGGCGGAAAGCATGCACGAGTGAGGGTCGGACAATACTGCGCCGCATACGAGTCTTACAGTAGTATCGATAATTTGATAAACACATACGGTTGCCCTCTGGAGTCTGGGCAAAGGCTCCATCGCAGGCAACAGAGCTACCGGGATCCGGATCCAGATCCAGGCTGGCGCCGCAATTTCCTGGCTGCTAGAGTCCCAAGGTACAAGTGGATTTCATATTCAGCCAACAGGATTCGAGGCGCTCATCAGTGACTCAGGGGCTGCCCTGGTTTGAATAGTCACCTCTTGACGGAGATCGTGTCCGTAGGAAGGGCCATAGTGTTAGTAGCAAAGGAGAGTGAAGAGATACGCGAGCACTAAGAGTCTGACAAGCGAGCATTGGTCGTTAATTTGGGCGCGTTTTCGTTTTCGTAAACCTTAAAACTCAATTGAAAAGGTCCCACTCCTGAGCACCACCCCCCCTTTAACGGGTGCTAGGTGAACACAGCGAAGATTGGCGCGAGGCTGGTCAGGGAAGGCAATCCTTCAGGATCCAACGCGGCACTGAACTTTTTAAATACGAAACTCGAGGACTTTGCTCCATGATACAAAAGGAACGGGAATCAAAAGAAATACCAATCCCATGGCAATCCAAACGGCTTTTGGTTTATCCCGGATCATCCTTGAGACTTGAATCGGCCCCATCATCGGGACCAATCTCCACTTAAACCCCGGGTGTTCGGAGGTGAATACGGCGCTTGGTAGATATCGATCATCCATTTACTTGCGTTCAATCCGACGGATTCAGAGCGCTTCATATAGAAGAAAAGCTTGACGTCCTTAGAGACCTGTACTACATATCCATCAGATTCTCGGTCACGAAATTAGCCTCTGCACCATTGCTCTCGCAAGGCAAATTCAGCAACGCTTCAGTCGCCCTTTACCTTCCCCATCTCAATTGTCTCGGGCCGGATCGTGGAAGAGCCACGCCAACCCCACGACTTCCCACTGTCAGTCTCCAGGCCCTTTATACAAAGTAGATGTTTATCCGCAACCTGTATATGCCATTTCTGCCTCCCGGCTCTCGTCTTCTTGATACCTTTAAGTAGGCGCCTCGTCCTCGACCGCCACCAAGGTTTGTCCTGGCCTGCGATGCATCGCCGCAAAGGTATCAACAGAAAGCAGACTTGGTCCAATCTTCCCTCAGAGAGCAACATCTCACCAATCGTTAATAATCGACTCATTCGAGTGCTCCTCTCAAAGTCGAGCTTGGCTCCAGACTCGGGTGGGCTTCCACCGGCGGCTATCGCTAGGGAGATCTTATTCTCCAAGTAGAACAAGATCCAGTGAATGTTAATCTGTAACGCAGGTAAGCCGAAATTTTTTATGTAGCTGGATTAATCCTACCTCGGTTTCCGAAAGGGATTCTCTGCGAAGATCCAAGTCCTTGATGGTGCCGTACTTTTTTGCCATTTTCAACAGCTGAGCCAGCGCCTCCTCGATGGACCCCTCGAGGAGGGCAACATCGCAATAATACAACAAGACCAGGAGGTCCTTCTCAGACTCATCAATCAGACAGGTATCAGACGGCCTAAAAGGAATAGGCAGGTTATCATCTCCTGCAGAAATAGAGCCTGCCTTCAACTTTCCCACATCAATCCCTTGTGACCCGAGGAACGGGTTCACGGCACGGGCGACTTCAAACAGCGTTTGCGAGATAGGTTTACGGTCAGTCAGCAAACGCAGCATAGTCTCTTCTGTACAGAGTCTGATGTAGTCCCGAATGTTCGCTGAGAGATGAGCATCCTCAATCAAGACATCGAGTCTCTCAATGAGCGACCTAAGGTCCTCGGAGTCAACGCTCGAAATGGCCCCCATTAGGTATTGACTGCGAATCTGCCCGATGGACAGGATGACTTGATGGGTTGTCTCAGATATGAGTGGAGGTAAATGCTGGACCCAGATAGTGGTAGACGGCAGCGTCTTTGGGACGCGCGGAGGCGGCGACGGACTACCTTAAGTCAGTTTCTTGGGCTCATCAATCACGGGCAAGTCACAGACTCACCGGGACGAACCTCCCCCCATATTGCGAAGCAGCTTTGGCGTTGAGTTCTTTACCGACGGAAAGTCAGGCGCTCCCAACGATGCATAGAAAATCACGTCCATGTTGGCATCTTACAACACCACCACATTCTATATGAAGTTGAAGAAGGAGAGCAAACAACGAAGCTCATCGTCAACCAGGCTGGACTGACGTATCTCGCATGCCTCGCATCGTATTTCGTGTCTGCATCAACCAGCTCAGCTGAAAGCCTTGGCAACACGCGTTATCAGACGTGGCTTGCGCCGGCGAATCAAGAGGAACGGACGGTGTGGCGGTATATATCCCCCGGACTGGGGCCGTTCTCAACGTTGTGAGCGCCACCGAGGATCCCGTCCATCATGGGACGCGTGCGGGGTACTGAGGTATGATCCTCTGTGCTGTGATCAGGTGCACGTGGAAATACTTTGGTGCATCATTGGAATATTTTGGTAGTCATTGTGAATGTAGAGGTGTTGTTTTGAGCATTCAATATGTACTCTGGTAGCTAGTATCTACACCAGTTCATGACGAACTTTGACCATGGTGATGCGTTCCATGTAGAGTCGCCTGCCCAAACGCCATGCCTCCGTCCCTGAAAATGCAAGCTGTCAGTTTGTGCAGCTTCAGCGCCCGTCACGTGTTAAGAACATTTCCTTGTGATCCCGCCTAATAATATCCATGATCGCTGTAAAACGCCGTTGCCGATGCTGAGGTTGATCCATTCTCCGATGGTGTCGAACGTTGTGAAGATGTTGTGGTGATAAAGGAAAGGTTGAAGTGATTGTACTGAGACATCGAGGTCGGCGAATCCTTAATTTTGGGATTCGTAGACTGCCATCGCCTTCTCAAGCTCCTCGAGACTCGACCGGTCGCCGTAGGCATCCATGAGTTTTGCCGCTCGCTTGCGGTCTTCAATTGCCTGCTTCTCCGCCGCGGCGTTCTTTGCTTGGCGACGTTCGACCATGCCTTCTCGGTATGCGTTGAGGCCGTAGCCAACGGCGACGACTGCTACTGTGGGCGGGACCCTATTATGCCGGATTCGTCAGTTCCAAACTCTCTTGGTTGCGGTGGTGGTGTTTACCCCAGGATTCGGGGCAGCCGGGAAGAGGGGAAATGGATGCCAGGTTGGGGGCTAAGGTAGGATGGGATCAAAGATCATGACGTACCATCTCATGGCGAGTCGACGGGGAGTTTGCAAAAAGTAGCTCGGCGGCATGCGAGCGTTGGTTGTGAAGTTTCTTGAAGCTTGTCTGAACATTGTATGTTGTGGGAGCAGGTATCTCAATAAGAAGTGGTGTGTGGGATGGGGGTGAAATCGGTATTTGTATCTTGGTTACGTGTGGGTTACAATCGCAAGGGATGATTAGATAGATCTCTCGGGCCAAAAGCAAGCGTCTTGGTGAGGAGGTGGCAGCGGCAAGCAATGTATTCATATAACACCCCGTCTCGACACTTCGCACCGCGCCAATCTTGTGTCTGAGAACCCCGTCACCCCCAGCCGTTCCCTCCCCCATGGCCAAGGGGGGCTAAGCATGGCATGGCACCGCCCGCCCACACAGTACCTAACAGCACTTGCGTAGTGCGTAAGGCAGGGTTGAGATGAGCATTGAGCGGTACACCGTACGGTACAAGGCATCTCCGCAGGGGAGGGAGGCAAAACGGGATTCGCGGCCAGAACGAGAATCAGTGTGACACCAGCATCGCACCACGCTCAGCAGCGGCCCCAATTGGGCATGGCGTCGACATCGTTCCAGAGTGTCGATTGTGGGGTGATGTCGACCGATATGCGGGGTGGAATCGGCACAGCCCGGGTGCAGTAACGTGATGCCGCTGGGGACAAGACGGGACATTTGCTTCTCTCTCTCATCATTGCTGCAGCGCTACGGATACAGTGCTGTACTACATACGTTGTCCTCGAGGAGAGAAAACTCTCATTGCTATTGGAGTGCCAGGCGAGTTCCTGGAAGACGTCTGGGGAACTTGGTGTTGAAGGCTGCTGCTGGTTCGCTGGAACTTTGCGAAACGCTCGAGGTGGTTGAGGAAGCCCCTTGTTTGTGCATCTTTCGTGCATCTCCGTCCATCTAATGACCCTGGGCCATCCAAGCACAGCCCCCGCAGACTTGTTTTGGCTTTTGTTGGTGTGGTAGCTACTCCTCACGTGCCCGATGCTGTGCCTGTGTGGTTTGCAACTTGCTTGCTTGCTCGCTACTAACGGCACTTGCAGTCGGCGTCTCGCCACACACAAGACCGACTAGCAACCTACCCTAAGTGGAAGCATTGACCAGACGGAGGACGGCCAGCGGAGTCCTCCGTTACCGCAATGTCTTCCGGTGCTGGTGGCAGCTGTTGAGAACCGTGAGGTTATGACATGTGCGGATACATCAATCGGCAAGTAACTTCGGGAGTGTGGCTTACCGGGATCATTTTGTTGGTGATTGAAACATTTTCATTCTTTCACTTTCAAAGTCTCCTTTTCGTGTTCTCCCTCAACATTGGAACCCGAAGTTATTATCGTGACCCGATTTGCAAAGCCTATCTGTAGCCCGTATCTCTAGATCTTCTCCATCGTGGACTATGGAAATGCCGATTCCACCCGCGAAAACCAGTGGGCTCCACCCAAGTTTATCCCGAAAGCTCGTCACATAGCCGAAAACCCTCGTTGATGTCATCTCTGGTCCCTGGATTTCTATCTCTAATCCCAATTTCCCTATTTCCTTCTCTGTCAAACAACCCTGTTGACAACTTGACGCTTAGCCTGATCTTGACACCGTCTCCATCCGCGCTACCGCTCTTTGGGGGCGCTCGAGTCCGACGCCAGGACGCGTTCTTTCTGGTGAGAAGGCGAGAATCTGGTTGCCAAGGTAAAGAGGGAGAGCGACCCTTGTCCGCCGATGTCATTCAGCCAAAATTCCATCAATGAACTCAACGCATTTTCCAAGCTGAGTCTCCACCAACCAACGCCAACGCTGGCTTCCGCGCTAAGTGAACTCCGGCGGCTGTGTTTCAAGACGTCACAACACACGATCGAATGATGATGCAGCGGATAGCGGCGGTTTGTTGTCGTTACCCGCGATTCTGAGCTATGACGATGGCCTCACATTGAGACCTTTTGTCGGGATCACTCGATTTAAGCTTGATCAACTGTCATTTTGCATGTATCCTTCACTACATTGCCGCAATGACGAGCACATGCATGCGTGCTCGCGACATGCCAAGCACCCCACAAGGCTTTGGCTGGGGCCCCCCATAACCCCTTTTCTAAAGTCCCTACTGTAGTATGTTCGCTCGAGTGTGGCGCATCGTCAACACAACACAATCCACAGCACAACAACGACTTCAATGATCGGGTGAATATGATGTTTAACATAGATCAAGTATTGTTACCACATTCATCTATGATTGGCGACGGAATATCCCATTGCTCATCTTTTAATCCTCTGAAATCTAGTAACTTTGGATCCATCACTGAGCTCTTGCTGAATTTCTTGGTGTCTATAGCCGAAGAGTCTCGGGGCGATCACAAAACGTAATGCGTAATAAATGATGCCAAGAGACAGGATGCTCAACGCAACAACAGGAGAAAGCCAATACGGCAGCGAAGTACTGCCTTTACCATTCGGCGGTCTTACAAACGGCATCACGATTAAGAACTAATTACCAAGTATCAGCGATCAATCTTCACAGTCTTTGAATCCATGGGCACACTCACGATATTCGCCGCAAGATAGATCACAATCAGAATCCAGGGTGCCCGGAGCGGCGATTGGAAGTTCTCCCGGTCGGTGAAACGCAACTTAACCAAGCCAACGGTGATAGCTGTCAACAAGACTGTTGTCGGGTAGCTAGACAAGCTCACGACGAAGTTGAAGGCATCTCCAGCCGGCGGTGCACAAATGAACAGAACAGTAACTCCCAGATGCAGAATCAAGGCGTAAATAGGAGTGCGGAACGGTCTGTTCTCCATGAATAGGTTGGAAAAGGGGAGCACGCCGTCCTTTGCCAGCTCCTGCAGCAGGCGAGCTGATTGGCGAAGTCAGTTGATTGAGCTCACAGTGCTGACTGAGGTTGAGAAACTCACGAATGGTAAATGCAACACCCAGGAGATGTCCCAGTGCCGATAGAGCGACCAGTGCTGGAAGAGCTTTGGCTCCTGCCGAGGGGCCAAAGATGTTCTCGAACAAGGTCGCGGCTACGGTAACCTTTGCCGCAATAAATGCCTCTTTAGGCACAGCGGCAAACTAATTGTGTATGTTAGCCAGCGAGTAACAGTGTGATAGAGATTATTGACTTGCATATGCGACATTTGCTAGTAGGTAGAGCACTGCGATGACGCTCATGGAGAGAGGAAGCGCGATTCGCAGAGTCTTCTGCGGATTACGGACTTCAGACAAGACCTGGGCATATCAGGTTAGTAAAGCGTGACAACTGCTCCAGGCTTCATCTCAAACTTACAGCATTGACATTATCATAGCCTTGGAAGGAAAAAATGACGTTGAGGATAGCGGATCCGATGTTGTACCCGCTGTTAGAAGTGCCTTCGAAAGCATTGGTGAAGTTGTGAGGGCTTTCCACCCTGAGATGGCCGGACAAAGCTGCGAAGCCGCAGCATACAATAAAGAGCAGCGTAAACAGCTTCACCGCGGATAGCAAATCCTGGATCGCTCTTCCTGTTCGAGGCGCAACCGTGTGGATTCCGACGGAGAACACGGCGCCAGCAATCGCAACTCCACGGAGTTCCCACGTCGTCGAGTCGGCACCTGATGCAACAAGGATGTACGACGAGAACGTGATGGCGTTACTTGCAGAAACCTCTATATTGCGTGTTAGGAAGGTCCTTAAACTGGCCGTGACATGCTCTTAACGGAGCATCAAGGACACTTACGCAAGAAGACGCAATAGAAGACGTAGATGCAAGTTTGCATAATCCGGGGACTGAAGGATCGCTCAAGGTAGTTCTTGATACCACCAGATCTGGGTATTGCGCTTCCAAACTCGAGCATAACGAAGATACCGCACGTCGAGATGATTGCCCCGATCACCCAGCACATCATTGCCATGCCCACACTACCCGAAAGCTTGAAGATAGTGCTGGGGGTCGAGAAGATGCTGCGCTTGTCAGAAACGGGAGAGATGCCAAGATGCGGGTCTTGCGGCGTACCCTGCACCAATGATCTTATTAACAATCAAGGAGACAGCTCCGAAGAGTCCAATAGTCCGCTCTTGCAGGACGTTGACTTCGATAACGCCAAGCTTGACATCCTTGTCTGAATCTTCGCCGCCATCGCTAAGAGAGCGAGTGATAGGCGTAGCTAGACGAAGATGTTAGATACAACTTGCTCCTTGCGGATAGAAACCTCTGCTGACCTTGTATACTATCTTGTCTGGACGCCATGGTATCAATCACGCCAAGGCGAACCTTGGAATCAAACAGGAGATCGGTTGATTAATGCAGCACCAAGACTTGGAGCAAGTGAATGCAGAAGTTTTACTCTTATGAATTTGAGGCTCTTTCAAGCATCAGTGATGGTATCCGTTATTCTGGAAAATGTTAGCTAAGAGCGTGCGTTTACGTCTGCACGGCTGCGGGAAGCGAAGCACGCCATTATGGACCCAAGATGTCGTGTGAATATCCCCAACGGCCAACTCAGAAGACATGGTAACGTGAGCGCAACTCCCGGACTTACTCAGGACTTGATAATACTTTAAAGGGGACTTTTTCAAAATAGTCCTGGTGCCCGGGAGGCAATACCGAACGCTTTCCCGCTTCTGGTAACATGCTCTTACTCGACACAAGGGTGTTGTTGGAGTCGGGGATATTCCGATTATGTCGTGCTTTGCTCCTGTGATTCGCCATTCGATGCGGACAAACCATTGGACAGCACCAACATGTAACGTTGTCTAGGCTGAACAAAGATCCGCAGCACATCCGACTACGGACCGAACTGCTCGTAATGCATCCGATATCTGATAATGATGCAGCATAAGTGTAGAGCCTCATCAGGCATTTCAGTATGCTACAACGTTGTGTTATAGTTAGTACAGCAAGACAACGGGAAGTTGAAGAGAGCAACAGAATGACAGTCGAACTCCAAACCTTCGAGGTCCTCGGCGCCAGGACCTATTTTGGCCATGCCCTGCCCTACGGCCTACAAGTCAAGTCGAATGATACGCCAAATTCTGCACCTCCCGTCACCGAGTCTGCAGCGGCATTGAGGGCACTGGGCGAATCCGGAAAACTTCAAGATCTGTTGGAAAAGCACGGTGCCGTCTTGGTCCGTGGTGCAGGAAGCGCTTCAGCCGAGACTTTCTCGAAACTCGTAGGCGCAGCTGAGAAAGGCAGAGGTTCCTATCCTCATGTTCAAATCGGATTGGCCGGGAAGAGAACCCCACTCGCGGACAATGTCTGGACGGCCAACGAAGGGTCGCCAAGCACCCGATTCTACCAACACAATGAGGTGAGGGCGTCCCGTCCAGCCTCAGGTGATATGCTCAAGTCAGCTCACGTACCATCGTCAGTACTCGAGATACACACGCTTCCCTTCAAATATTCACTTCTACTGTGTGAAGACAGCCCCCAAAGGTGAGTTCATCCCAATATTGCGAGGTTGCGAGGCAGCTTAACCTCCCTTCGTTGACCCGAATACCTGTGGGCGTTCATACCGACTGATATGGAGCTGTAGGTGGCGCGACACCTATTGCAAGCAGCGCCAACGTATTCGAAAAGGTCCAAGCCGCGATCCCTGAGCTTGTGGAAGAGATCAGCAAGCGTGGCTTGGGGATGAAGATGGTCTTCCGTGCCCCCGGGAATGAAGCCAAGGTCAATCAATTCAACTGGGCTGGTGAGCACAGTTTCGGACAGGAACTTGCTCCAGAAGACGACGAAGCAACAACGAGACAAAAGGTGGAAAAACAAGTTCGCAAGTTAACGTCAGATTTCAAGTGGAACGAGGATGGAAGTCTTGAGCTGACGCAGCATATTCCTGGTAAGGTGCCCCCGGAATGTTCCTCACTTGGCATGAAGAGTACGAAGTTCACGTCTGACATCAACCGCAACTATAGGCATACGCAGGCTCCCAGAGAGTGGCAGACCAGTCTGGTTCAACGGCCTGGTCGGGCGTCATGGTATTACGCGAGACATTGGTGCTCTCGATCCTCCTCATATCGGCCGTGACGGAATGACTTGTAAGTTCTTGCAGAAAGCTTACATGGTGCAACCTCACTGACATGCTGCCAGATCTTCCCAGTGTCTATGGAGATGATACTGAGATACCGCGCAGGCTTCTTGACAAGCTTCTTGACGTGATTGATAAGGAAGAGATTAGCTTGGTTCTTGAAGAGGGAGATCTTTTGTTAGTCGATAACTTCCAAGTCTCCCACGGAAGAGAGCCGTGGGAGGGCGATAGGCAGATATTGGTCTCAATGTGGGACACATCAATCCCAATTGGGGAGTACTGATGAGCACCCCATTAGCCTCCAAGAGTGATCAATATCGATTCGTCAAAAGTAATTTCTTCATAGTTGGAAGAAGGAAGATAGGTGACAAGTTCTGAATTATTGTTCAGTTCCCAAATAATATACAGTGAGATAGTCATAGCACGCAGGGACCCTTCCATTTTTCAGTATCGATTGAAATACACATCTTTTTGCTCGGATCTCTGAGCTCCACTCCATGGCTGAGTTGGTGGTGAGGTTCGTGTTTCCGATGAGTGATCTTCGGGACTCCTCCGGGATCTTGAGCTTCACCTACAATGTATACTGATAGGCAGGGTGGCACTGCCATTTTTCACCCAAACTCGTCGACCGTGATCCCAAGCGTGTGCCTTCACTCTGAAGATCCTCATCTCCGGCAACGCGGAGCTTACGGTTACGCCAACGAAGGTAGAAGTGCAGCGAAGTGGCCAGAAGAATGCACATTCCAGAGAAGGCCACATTAATGATGTTTGCTTGCCAGTACTGTGGGCCATGGGACTTTGGGTAAAAGTAGCTTGCATAAATGGAAGCCAGGTTAGATCCGGCGTTCACGACAGCGTATGATACAGCTCGTTTAGTCGCCGGCCGAGGAAGTGTTGTCGAGACCCATGACAAGATACATCCAAATGAGCCATACACGCTCATCATCATGAACGTCGCGGTATATCGGGCTGCAACGTTGAGAGTAGTTGCCGAGATGATGAAGCCGACGCTGCAAAAGACCTGCGGCCACACGATGTGCAGCCATCTCTCACGATGCTTGTCGCTGTGCCAAGAGTTTGTAATGCCCAATATCGCTGCGAACACATATGGTGGAGCAGAGAGAAGCAATGTGTTTCTTTGGTTGTACCCGAGTGTCGCTACAATGGTGGGGAAGAAGTTGGTAAAAGCGGCAGCAGTGTTGAGTCCAAGTTGCATGAGCCAGATCATGTAGAGTGCTGGATCCGTAAATGTCATCTTCAGACCCTGCAACGCTGATGCTTCTTCTCGGTTATCTTCTTCGACTGCTTCTTCGGTGATTCGAAGGATAGAAAGCTTTCTCTCCTCGTCGGTTAGCCATTTGGTAGTGGCTGGATAATCTGGAAGTGTGAGATACGTCACGATGGCGACCGGAATTGGGATCATTCCCTCGATGATGACTGTTTAGATGAAGTCAGAATATCACCAGGCATTGAGTGAAAAGAGAAAACTCACAAAGCCATCTCCAATCTGCGAGGCCTAGCTTTCCATCCATGCCTCCCATGATGGCGCTGCCCAGAAGGCCACCGAAAGCACCTGCCATTTGTCCTGCAGCATATAGTACCGAGATACGGACAGCCAGCTCCTTCTTCGTGTACCACGAACTGAAAAGGTACAAGGCGCCAGCTATAGCGTGGTTAGCCACAAGTCCATGACAGTAATTAGTGGAGACTAACGGAAGAAGGGTGCCTCGACAAAGCCCAGGAGAAACCGGAGAACTACAGCTCCCCTGTAGTTCTGAACAGCGCCAGTGGAGGCACTGACAACAGCCCAACAGCACATGACGACTGGAAGGAAGATGCTGGGTCTCATCTTGTTGAGAATCATGTTTGTGGGAACCTGGGTGAGGATGTATCCAACGAAAAAGACACTGATAATGGTGTTGTACTGGGTTCCAACCAGATCGATGTCCTTTTCAAAGTTTCCCAGACGGGCTGTCGCGATCTGATCACCGTCAGTGTGATTTCTGTTTAGCGAACATCACATTGCTTTACATTGTTGCGGTCCAAGTAATTGAGTACATGTTCTTCTCAACAATCATGTCAGTGAGGGCTCCGCTTTGAGGAGTCTGGATGAACTTATAGAGTAGCATCATCAAGGGCATCCTTGAGCATCGGTCAGGAACAGCAGATTAGGTGGGAAAATCATCGGGCCACTCACATCCGAATGTCAATCCTCCGCACAAGTCGTCGCTCTTTCAGGTCCCTGTTCTCGATGGGTACATCCCGGGATGTGTCTGATTTCAGTGGATGATCCAGCGTTTCCACATGAAGGCCCGGAGTGTCGTCTTTACGAAGGTCATTCAACGCCATTTTTGTTGTGCAAATGACAACTTTTTGTACGTTCAAACTTTAGATGGACGTATTGATGTGAAATGAGACTCGGCCGTAGTTACATATCTTTTAGAGGCCGACCGAAGAGAGGCCATCGGACTGCTTGCCGATGTCCGCGCCCTACTCACGGATATGACTTTTTATGGTTACATAGTAATAATAGTCAGATGTGTGCCGAAAAAAGGCCAGGCGAGTAGATTGGTTGGTCGGAACGTGATTACGAACCGGTCGGCTCTCGCATGATCTTAGTTTAGTCTACCATGAACAGATAGATCGACAGGGCTTCATCGGAAAGTAATCTTGTTGGCTGTTTTGAGACATGGGTGTTGATGCTGGAAGGAAGGTAGCATCAAATGTGTCATGTGGTGCTTGGAGAAGTTACCTGCAACGAGTGCAATTGTCATAACATCTGGACTCGAACCACCGAGCTCATATTCCTGCAAGACAAGCCTACACGAGGCTTCGAAGCTTTGATACATTTCGCAGAGTCGCTGGAAGCTCGTCTCTACATGATGGCATCTGGGCCTACATTTATGTCTGAATTTTGGCATCCGTCAGCATTCCACCCTCGTAAATTTAGGTACTCAAGTACGCATCCAGATCCCACTTTCCCCGCAACCCCGGATACCCATACCCGCTGGCGTCAACCCCGGATCGTGGGGTTGATTACATGTATGTGTGTTTGACTGTACAGCACAATCTGTTGGCGCTGCTAGAACACAGCTAGCTGCATTGGTTGGTCCTACGGCTCGGGAATCGGATATTCTGAGGTTCTGAGCTCACATGGCAGGTCCTAGCGGTCGGATATTGCCACAATACGTCACAATTCCTGACGTTGAGCTGCACGCAAGTGCAGGGGAGAAGATGCAAGGAAACCAAGCGAGGGCTGTCATGATGTGCTCGGAGAAGTCCCCGATATCGCTGAGTATGGCGGGAACTTTGTCCGAATACCGTGCTTTTCGGCAGAAGGACATGAATGGGCAGATGTTTTGACATGATCCAAGATTTAAGGACTCTGGATTCCCATCTCGTCGGGATTTATCGTAGACCAGCATTTTATCACGGCGTGTCTTCACTGATACACGCCATATTGCAAAATAGATTGAGACTCTTCCCAGCCTAGCAACTTCGAAGATCTTCGAAGCATAACGCGACCACAAAATGCCTAGTGCTGTCAAGCCAATCGTACTCCACATAGGAGACCCGATACAATACAATCCAGAGCGATACAGGGCGTTGGAAGAGATCGCTACAATCATCAGGCCACCCATAGAAGAGAGGCAGAGGGACGCCTTCTTGAAGGCCCTGAGGGAACAGCAATGGGGAAATTTCTCAGCGATCCTGCGACCCTTTTGGAACTCGGGCGGAGAGATGGGCCGTTGGGACAAAGAGCTCATCTCACTCCTGCCTCCCTCCGTCAAAGTCTTCGCCTCCGCAGGCGCTGGATATGACTGGGCAGATGTTGATATTTTGGCTGGAAAAGGTACGCCATTGCCCTTTTCCTCAACATTTTAGAGATATCTTGTTGACACGGACAATAGGAATCTTGTATTGCAATGGAGCATCAGCATCGTCAGAGGCTGTGGCAGACATGGCGCTTTACCACATCATATCAGTGTTCCGCAACATGCAATGGACCAATACAGCCGCACGTAGTGGGAACGCAGATCAGTTCCTCGATGCACACCGACACAATAGCGAGACAGCACACAACCCTGCAGGACATACGCTTGGCATCATTGGCCTCGGAAACATCGGCTATCGTATTGCACAGAAGGCATACGCCGCCTTTGGCATGAAAATAACATATGTCGATCCTATCCCCAAGCCAGCGGGGCAGGAAACCACTATCAAAGCCGTGAGATACCCGGACCTGGACTCTATGCTCGCCGTCGTAGATTGTGTGGTTATTTCCGCCCCTGGAGGCGCAGAAGGCGGCAAGGCTCTTATGGATGCCTCACGCTTAGCGAAGATGAAGGCGGGATCTCGATTGGTCAATGTTGGGCGTGGAAACCTGGTGGATGAGGAGGCATTGGCTGATGCACTAGAGTCAGGGCATCTTTTTGCTGCTGGACTTGATGTGCACTCGGATGAGCCGCACATAAACAAACGTCTGGTCTCCATGAGGGATGTAAGTCTGACATGTCACACTGCTGGTGGAGCTGTCGAAACAAGAATCGGTTTTGAGGATCTGGCTATCCGAAACGTCATTGAGGTACTACTAGGGAAGGAACCTTTGACGGTGGTGAACAAACATTTACTTCTGTAGATGAGAGTGGAAACCTACAGTACCACGAAAACAAAGGATATAAATATTTGAAGCTAGTGTTTATTTCCTATCGGAAATTATCCTAGTCTTTGTGAATTGAATTGTATCATTTCTTCGACATTGATCCAGGTTAAACACCAGGCTCTGCTACTGGCCATGAACAGTCTGGGTCCAGGCCTGCCTTACTACTTGAGACCAAGCTAAGAGTCGATGGCTTTGCTTCCCCCTTTTCCGTCGCTTAACATCATGCTGTATGTCCTTGTTGATTGAATATGTGGTTACCATTGACGGCGGCTCGGCCATCGATGGATGCAGGAAGTTTGCATGTGCATGCCTTAGCTTGTGAATATGCTTCACGGCCTCCCGCAGGCGCACAGATTTTGACTCAATTCAAATTAGAAGGATGTTCCAAAAAGAAGCCTATGACACAGTCTGATGTGACATAATTGATGCTGATTACCCCTCTTCCTCTGGCCAATGACTATCTCAATATCCCAGAATCAACTTTCCTTTTAACCTCTGATGCTCTTTTCAGTCTCCATCAATTCCTCCCTCAGCCACTTTTGTACCGTTGGACATCGTAGATTAGCCGACAAAGACTCTGTGATCCTCTGTGTAGCCCCTACCTCATCTCAGCAAGGTAGTTTGGCCATTCAATTTCACGGATCCTCGATCAGTGCGAACATAACTTGTAAGTGACGTTCGCTTCTAAGGGTTCATCAGTACCCTGGTTTTGATCGTGTCTTGGACTGGTGATTCTCTCTACACCCCGAAACTCAAGTCCTGACTATTACGTAGTCGCTAAGATGGCTAGCAACATACAACAACGCGTTGAGAAGAACTGCAAGATTTTCTGGGGAGACCACGATTACGAAATTGATTATGAGACCGATGACAACATGGTCTTCCAATACTTTGTCTTGCGGGACTACGGAAGTTTGTTTGGGCCACCGTTGACAATGACCTTTTTTTGTGACTCTGAAGAGGCTGCCTATAGGGAGCTGGACCGGATGCTAGTGATACGGGCAGCACAGGTCGGGCGAGGGACGCCAACGACAAAAGAGGAGAGGCCGTAGATATTTGGTGGTCCGAGAGGGGAGTATAAGCGACTCTTGGCTGCAGTTTCGGGTGCGCTTGCGGCAAGTCAGCCTGCTGCTTAATCCACTGGATCTTAGGTGGAGTAGGATGAAGACGAGGAGGCACAGGCGACGCAATTTTTCGATGCATACTTGTAAATAAATGGTGGCATGAACATCAATGTGAGATGGACTTCTGCTAGGACTGAAAATGGAAACAAGCCACCTATTTTCTATTCAATAAAGATGTATTCTTCGATCTCGAACACTCTTGTCTGATTCCTCGAAGCTAAAGTGACTACATAATTTCACGTAATAACTCAGTACTGAAATCGTTACGCTTTTCAACCCGCTCATTTACGTTGATTTCTCAAGCGCTCAGATTCAACCAAAGCGAGTGCGCGAATAACATTAAGATGGCGAGTGCAGTCTTCGCAGGCGCCCCGAACAACGCTGCCCCCATCAAGCTCAATAATCTTCTTGCAAGGTTCGGGGTTTTGACAGCGCTCAAACTTGCCGGGAAGGAAAACTGAGGCGTATGGCTTACCACATTGGGTGCAATAGAATGCAACGGACGGTTGGTCACACATGTTGAATGGTGGACGCAAGATCTCTCGCAGGGATTCTTCGAGTCGAGCTATTCTGGGTCTGGGAAGGTTGCGGCGGATCGGCTGTGTGTGGGATGCTGTTGTCATGGAAATGGTATGCGTACTATGGGTAGGGTTCTGTTGTATAGACCACTACGGTGGTTTCCATGCTCTTTTAAAGATCCCGGCAAAGGTCTAATCTATGTTTCCAAGCCGGTCACCTTGATAATGAGTGCCGGGACAGTGGTATTGTAACAAGAACGATCCTGAGAAGATCTTTGTTCAGCTTCTGAGACAGCGATATTGACAACTGAGGCTTTGAGTCTGCAGAGTGTTGATTAAATCCAAGTACCTTACCTAATTATAAAAGAAACTTCGATCCGTCTCAAAGGGTTCGATCTCAACAATAGCACCGAGACTTCGAACAAAGCATGATTCCATGGAAGTATCAGCATCGAGTGGAGATTGCGCCCGCATCGTGGTACTGCTGGAACAATATAACTGTTCCCAAGACGTAGGAAAATAATGGTGCGCCGCCCTCAAGATTAATAAGAACGCCTCAAGGTATAACGAGTCAAGTTGATAACTCCTAAGATGGTAATTGAGTCTATTCGAGAGACATTGCATGACTACCTAGTACCTAAACTAAGTAATGTACTTTACTTAGGGAGCCTACAGCCGCCGCCGATGATGATGATGATGATGATTTGTTTAACGCCGGTACAGCCGCCGCCGACTCACGGCACAATGATACCCATGACAAGCCGGGGACCGTAAACTCTGGAACTGAGGGTTCTACAGCATAACTCTTCTACCACCTCGGCTAGCATCATCGCGAAAACCGAATGGAGCCATTTTAGCCAGGTTCGTCCACTTTTAGCTTAGATGCAATGCAACCTGCCACCCACCCGGCATCCCGCCCAGGGTCAATTGAGCCAGGCATTTACCCGTGAGGGGTGCAGAACCAACGTCATTTACCCCGGATTCAACCAGAGCGATATAAAGCATCTAGAGCATGGCGAGATTAGTACGTGACATCTGGTAGAAAGTCGGGTAGTACCATATCTGTGTTGCATTTGGGTCCAATGACACTGAGACACCCGATATGAAGTCCACTATTTTCATGCAACTGGCCTCAGTCGCTACATTGCTTCCGAGTGAGTTCACCAGGTTATCAGCATTGAATGAACTACCAAAGGCTGACTATCCGGATAGCATTCGCACAAGGGCTTGTGAATCCTATTATTCCGGGGTTCAATCCGGACCCGACGATCATTAGAGTTGGTCAAGACTTCTTCCTTGCAACTAGCACCTTTGAATTCTTTCCCGGCGTCCCCATCTACCACTCGACCGACCTGTAAGTCTACTTATTTCCTACCAATATTGCATAGCGTCACGTTACCCAATGCTCACTCAATGAGAACAGCGTGAAGTGGGACAATATTGGTCATGCACTGTCTCGGCCCTCTCAATTGAACATGCGGGGTACCGCCCCGAGTGGAGGTATCTTTGCGCCAACGCTGAGACACCACGACGGTCTCTTTTACCTGATTGACACAGTGTTCGATGTGATCAACCCTCCTGACAATGTAATGTCATTCAGTGTAGTATGTGAGAGTATTTCTATCTACTTACTGATGGACTCTTCCCATAGGTTACACGGGTTCCCCGGTCATTCTACGTCACAACCCCGAATATCTTCGATCAGGCTAGCTGGAGCGAACCTACATATGTTGACCAGTGGGGATTCGACCCAGACCTCTTTTTTGATGATGACGGGAAAGTGTATCTCACTTCCACGTTCTCGGAGTTCGTCGAGAATGGTAACTTTGCAAACTGGATCACGGAGATTGACATCAAGACGGGCGACTCTTTGAGCGACTCCCGAGTCCTCCACACGACAACTGTTCCTCCAGAACTTGGCTACCCGCTTGTGAGTCTAATTTCCCATAACCGCCAGGAAACTATGAAACTGTCCTAGCTAATTGTCAACCGAACCCCCTTAGACTGAGGGAAGCCACTTGTACAAACTGAATGGGACATATTACATGGTCACTGCCGATTCTGGAACTGAGGCCAATCACAAAGCAAATGTGTATCGCTCCCAGACCTTAGAAGGTCCTTGGGAAGGGAACCCGCATAACCCTGTATTGTGGAATGGCGAAGATATGTCTCTGCCAGTACTAGCTACGGGCCATGCAGACATTGTCGACGACGTCGATGGCAATTGGTGGGCTGTTTTCCTTGCGATTCGACCGCAACATCCTAGAAACAGTACCGGCTTGCCTCAGCTTGGTCGCGAGACCTTCTTGTGTCCTGTTACATGGGATGCTGATGGATGGCCCATCTTCAACAATAACGAGCCGATTACTGAGTACATGCCCGATGTTCTGTACGACTTGGACCGGCCCAAGGTATGGCGCGACGAGTTCGAGGGTGAACTCATCGATGAAGCCTACTACTACACACGAACACCATACAAAGGCTTCACAGACTTCGAATCCAGTCCTGGGAAGCTTCGAATCAGAGGGAACGTTTACACCCTTAACGATCGCGAAACTCCAGCAGCACTACTCCGCAAGCAGGTCGACATCAACACCACCTTCAGTACCGAAGTCAGCTCATTCAGCCCGGCGTCGTGGAGACAGGAGGCCGGTGCAAGTGTCTATCTCAGCATCCACTACCACAATGAAGTCGCCATCACTTACTCGAACGACACTGGTAAGCGATGCATAGTCACACACACACGGACGGGCCCTGACGCAACGCTCAACACCACCTACATTGAAGATGAGGATGTCGCCAATGGTGACCCAGTGAAGCTTTCCATCGAGGCCAAGGATGTAGGATATCGCCTAGGATACTCTACAGGCGACAAAGCACCAAGTTGGCTTGCGACTGTTGAAAATCGCTGGCTCCAGTCGTACGTCGAGGGCTGGCAGAACTTTGTCGGGACCCATTTCGCGATCTACAGTACTGGAACTAGACTTCCCACTCTAAATCCCGCGGTATGTTTCCTCTCAAGCTTGTATAGCGCAGCGACACTGACAGTAATGCTTCTCAGGACTTCGAGTACATCCAGACGGAACTAAACTAGCATGATAGTGTGAGGTTGAAGGGGTATTTACAGGAACAAGCCACCAGTCTACCCGATGTACTTCACCGGATGGATATACTTACCACCTTCAAGACGCCACTCTTAAAAGCAAGGAAGCATCTGAATTGATACTCTGACATTACTGATGAGTATCTTGCATCAACACGTGGGCGGGTCTTCCAACATTGCCATTTCGATTGACCGTTTCTAGATGTTTACCGCAGAGTTTATTAGACGTGAAGCGCTTCTTAAGCTACCTCAAGGCAAAGGCCCGGAAGTATTGACTTTTATTGAAATACACAGGGCTATAAGACGAATTAAAATCTCTTGCCATTCCATGAGTTGTGTATTAAAATGAGCCAGGTTCAAGCGGCCTCCTTTCGCGTTTGCTACACAATTCCATCTCCTTTGTTTTCTTAAACATGCGGCCACTGGATCAGAGGTTACGCCAGACCTTTTAGACTAGGTGACATTATTATCTAACAGACCCGAGGTTCTGAACCATCATAGATCCCGTGGAAGTTGGGATTCCGTGAGGTAGACCAACTTGATTGGCTCGCACGGAACGGCCCCTCTCCATTTCTTAGTGTCCACCTGTGAGATTCCGTTTGGACCTGGTGGAGGAGCAATCCGATTGGCCCAGACGGAATCATCAGACTGTATGAAGCAATTCGATGTGTGTTTCCGGAATTTGGCCGCCCACGCTTGAATGTGAAGGGACTTGCAAGTGTCTGTACTGCCGAAGTCAAGTCAGCCAGGCATATAATAGGCCTTCATTATCTCTCCAAAGGTGTGTGTAAATCCAGGTATCCAATGACTAAACATCGCCAGAACGTGCACAATCGAGGCTAACATGAATGTCAAACCGCTCTTACCAGTCGGAACCGCCCATCCTTTTACGTCGACTATTGCCTTATTGGCTGTTCTCATCGGTCTCTATACGTTTTACTACCGGAAAATACATCCTTTAGCCAGTTTTCCCGGCCCCTTTCTCGCGTCACTTACCAACTTCTGGAGACTCCGGGAGCTATGGAACTTGCACCTACCAGAGACTCTCGTCGTATTGCACGAGAAATATGGGGATGTAGTCCGCGTTGGCCCCAACATGCTTTCTTTCAGACAAGGGAGCGCGGTACCCAGGATTTACAAGGCCGGCCGGACTTTGGCCAAGACAGCTTTCTATGATGGTTTCACATCCTTCAATCCTAATCTGTTTGGAACTCAAGATGAAGAGGTAAGTCATCAGAAGTTTTGCAAAAGATTTGAAAGTCGCAGACTCAATCCCCAAGGTGCACTCAATGCGGCGACGGCAGATGGCGCACGCGTTCTCTCTACAGTCGATCAAAGAAATGGAACAGCACATCGACGGGCACATGCTTCAATTCCGCAAAAACCTCGACGAGTACTCCCGAACAGGCCAAGTTTTCGATCTCAAGGAACTGATAGCGTTCTTTGTTCTCGATGTTCTGGGAGACCTCGCTTTCCGCTGTCAATTCGACTCGCAGATCGAAAAGGACATTTCAAAGTTGCCTCCCATCAACGACCACATTTTTCTTGCTTGCCTGATGGGCATGATCCCTGACTTTATGCCGCTCATCAAAGCTGTCGCCCCCCGGATTCCGATTACATGGCTGCAACAGCTTCTCGCGGCTAGACAAAACCTCAAGAATCTCACGGCGGAGTGCGTGAGAAACCGATTAGCAGACACTGGTGCTGCTCGAAAAGACCTCATTACTAGCCTGATCAACTCCGTAGACCCGGAGACAGGCTCCAAGCTCTCAGAGCTAGACATACAAACAGAGGCATTTGCGTTCATGTAAGTTGTTAGACGGTGCATTGCTCGGATGATCTTTTCCGCTATCCCCTCTAACATATTCTTAGTGTTGCTGGCTCCCATACGACGTCCGGAACCCTTACTCTTCTCTTTTCTCACATTCTTCAAAACCCGGTTGTACATACCAAAGTGGTAGAGGAGGTCGATACAGCTGTTGATGATGTTGGCTCGGCCATTGTGTCTATCAAAGACCTTGAAACAAAGCTTCCATACGTCATGGCATGTCTAGATGAAAACTTCCGGATGAACTCTGTTTTCACTATGCCTTTGGAGCGAGAGGTGACTGCCAAGGAAGGCTTTGAAATTGAGGGTCACGTAATTCCCCAGGGCGTACGTTTCTCCCTTCACCCAAGATTTGCCTGGCTCGACTTACTGACCAAAATAACAAGACCGGTCTGTTCAGCCTGAACCACGTCGTTCATCACAATCCTGCCATCTGGGGAAAAGATCACGATATGTTTAACCCCTCCAGATTCTACGATCAAGAAGGGGAGAAGCTCCAGCGTTTCCTCAGCCCATTTAGCATGGGTCATCGCATGTGTATCGGACGAAATATGGCCATGACAAACATGCTCAAGCTCGTTGCGACAACGTTCAAATGTTATGAACTTGAGATGGTGGAGCCGATGCAAGCCATCTCAACTATCAGCGTTGGAATATCCGAGAAGGAAGGCCCGTTGCTGTGTCGCGTCCGTAGAAGATAGATCATGGGTGAAGATTTCAAGTAACGTGACTTAATACACCAGCGCCTTCGTGCTATTTGAATCATCAGAAAAGCAAAGGCCATGGACTCAATACTAATCATTGAAGTTTAGTTCTTTTATTCCTCCAGACGAGTGCTCACTAACTTACCCTAGGTACCTATTTCAACCATGAAGACTGCCCCATTTGGGATACCCCTACATCAACTCGTTATCAAAGTGCACTCAACCATATATATATCTAGCTCTCAAACACCTTGATAATCTGAATCGAAGATATAAGCTCTATCCACCTCTCAAATCTCATCACTGACTCTGATATATAGATCGAGTTTGGCGTGGCTCATCGTGAAACGTTTATTGTTTGCTTAGCTATCCCTTGACTCTATTTGGCCGCATTCTGTTCAAGGAAACCAATCGCCTTTCTCAGAGACTCTACGGCAATCACCGCATCCCCGGCTGAAGTCTCGACGTTAACGTTGCCGGACCTTCCATCGAAACCGTGCTCCGCATCAGATGGGAACTCTGCTAAGACACGCACTCCAGATGCCTCGAGCTTCTCTGCGGCTCTGGTACTACACTCAATCGGTACAGCTGAGTCGTTCGCACCATGAAGCAGCATGACAGGCGGCAAATCACCCAGGTCGCCAAAGTCAAGTGGAAACAGCTGTTGGTGTTCTTTGGGTATGGCTGCAACTCCTTGAGTGGCAATCTGTCGCGTAAGGCCGGAGACACCGGTCATGTAGTCGGGGAATAGGGCGTCGATGTGCAGTGCCGAAGTGAGAGCAAATCTAGGGTCAGCAGACGGGTCGCCTGATATCGGATAAGCTGAGATAGGCTTCCTCTCGCCGCCCGAAGCCTTGGCCATGGGCCACTTCTCCAGAATTGGTCCGGTCTCGACTAGCGGCCGGCCGAATATGTTCTTTCCGGGAGTCATGTATCGAGTCCCGGAAGGATCGAGCATCCCGTAGATCAGTAGTAGTGCGTCGGGCTTTCTAGCAGCCGAGACAGCCGTGTTGAGAGCCAAATACCCTCCAGCGCTTGAACCAGCGACTAACAGTGAGCCGACCGGGCGGCCTATAATCTCCGGCAGTGAAGACCAGGCCCATTTATAGGCGTCCGCTGCATCTTCAACGGAGTCGTGTGCGGTTGACTCGGGCATCAAGCGGTACTCGGGAGTCACAAAGACCCATCCACGAGAGGCGGAGGCATGCACAAGCCAGTGAGGCAAGAACGAATATCGATCTCCGACGATCTAAAAAAGCCTCTGATGTTAGCTTCGATTGGCGTGGATCAAGCGACACAGTCAGATAATTGATCTAGGTATGCGGCTCGAATGGAAGCAATCGCTTACAAGAAAGCCGCCGTGATAATGCAGCAGCACAACAGCGGGAGAGCCATCCGACGTCTCGGGGTACACGACGTCCGCGTTGATGGTTATATCTGAGGTGACTTTGAAGGGCACTGTTCGTGACGTGTACCCAGCCAATGTCTCCATGGGAAATGAGGAACCCATGTTAGGAAGTGCGGTCGTATAGGGTCAATTACTAGGAATGGAGGGCCTAGAAGCTTGACAAATGCTAGACAATGACAATGGTTTGGATCTTGATCACTTTAACTTCAGTAATTACTAGATGAGATAGCGGGGTTGACTGCACTGAGCTGGCCCCTTTCGTTTGGAGATTAATAACTGCTTGCTTTGACAGGATGACCGGAGTTAGTTTGACCCCGCTGTTAGTTCCGGTTCGGAAGCGGCCGGAATTTGCTCAATCGCCAATCGGAAAAGTCCAATTGCCCGTTGCGCAATCCGTGGACATGGGTGTAAGATCAAAGAAACCGTTAAGCTGGTCAAAAACCATCATATCTCCCATATTTCCAAACAACAAAGCATCAGAAGGACTTTCAACACCCTGTCTTTGTTCACCTGGCGCGCTACTACCTGATGAAGTGGCCGAGGATGCGGACAGCTGTGCTGTGAGTTTACGTAGGCCTTGAAGTCGCTCCCAGAGAGTCAGCAGCAGCGCCGACCTGTTGCTTAAGGTTCTGATCATCTCCAGCGCAATGTCAAACTCAACAGTGACCTTATCGCAGAACATGGAGCTGGCATTCACGACTGCCAGCAACAGGTTGCCAAAGGCAGTCAGCAAGAGGTGTTTGAAAAAAAGCGGGTTGCGCTTGATGATGGCGGTGTTTTCGTTGAGGCTCGAGAGCACCTGCAGCGACTCCCTTGCAACCGCGACGGCCTTGTGAGCATGTCTCTGATACTGCGTAATCCGCGTAGCGGATTGAAGCACCGGGCGACAGATCAAGTTGTGCAGGTGACTCTTGCGAAGGAACAGCACGGCCTGAACATGCCGAACCTCCTGTCCCGGCTGGATGGGTTCGAGCTTCAGGTCATCAGCCAGGAGTTGGTACCACTGCTCGATCCGGTAATCGAGATAGTCAATTTCATCGATGTTGAGCTCACTCTCTTTCTCGACTTGGCTGTTGAGAGCGTACCACGTCTTGCCCGCTAGTTTGGTCCAGTCGAGAAGCGCGGTCATGACCGGATCATGTCCGTTCTGTCGGCTTGTCAGCGAGTCGCGGCCGGATATTTAGTGCAACGTCGTAGAATTGGCGTAAGCTTACCATTGCAAGTAGTGTCGGGTCAACATGGCAGTCCTGTATATAGAACGGTATACCCTGACCCAGGCTCGTCCTTCTCTCCAGCATGTACACGCATCGGAACGTTTGTAGCCCCGCTGCTTGCTCTTCCGAATTGGCAAAGTGATCTACGGAAGCCCTGCGATGTAAGCCCATTTCGAGGCAGAGCCGAGCTGCAAATCCAATAATGCGACCGGTCCGTACTTCTTCATCAAGGTGATAGTAGTAGAGTGCCTATTCATACGCCAGTCAATAATGGCGCCAAGGATGAATCTCCCATCTGTCCTGGGTAAGGCCAATACGTACCATCAGTACCAGCATCTGTATGTTGCTAATCGAATTTCTGCCCCATAGAAGTCCTTCGCCAGCTTCTGTGGCGCTTTGAAAGAGCCTTTGAGCTAAGTCATTGCAACTTCCGCTCTCCAAAGTTAGGCAGATGGCCAGGATAAGTTTCAATTTGTTGGTATCACTGTGGAATAGAGACTCTGCCAGAGTTCCTCGACCCCGCGTCTCGTGCACATTGACAGTCCGAAGAGTGTCAAAAACGCTACCAGCAACCTTTAGCAGCTGCTCTTCACTGACAACGGCGTAGAGAAAGCCGGTGCCCGAAAACCACTGTTGAATGTGGTTGGTAGCATCTTCAAGGCTGATTTCCCACAGCGGATCTCGGGCCAGAATCTTCATGAGTGGCCCGTATTGCGCCAGCTGAGATGGCGTATTTGAGGCAGGGTTGGTCTCCGGAGTAGACTTGTCCAGAATAGCGGGCGGGATTCCCATGGCCTCGAGATTGCCTTTGACAACTCCAAAGGTGAACTCGGAGCTTGATGGGCCACAGAACTCCGGTGAATTAATACTTGCGTCACAAAACATGAGATCTGACCTGGATTCAAGGATGGGACTCGTCTCTTGGCCAGGCGATTGTGATGGCCGAGTCTGTGTAGGTACAGTTTTTGAGACGCTGAGTGAACTTTCATGTTGAAGAGAAGTATGAGAAGGCCTGCTTGGATCCGCGTTCCTTGATCTTCGTGAGCTATCTAGATCCTGCGGTAGGACAGCGAACGAGAGAAGACCTCAAAAGATTTACTTGAGGAGGAACAACATGTAATTGAAGGGATGTAACTTACTTTGAATTGAGCTTCGGAGTGACCAATACTCGACGCTGTGGGTGGTATTGGCACGTAACTGAATTCCGTGAGCATGCCGCGCAGGGGTTAACACCGTCGCACTTGATCTTCTTCCTCTTGCATTCGATGCTTGGATAGGAGTAAGAGAAATTTCCTTGGCTGGGCGGGTGTCCGGAATACTTACCATGCTTGATTGACGTAAGGCACCCTTCTATTCCGTCGATGACGCAGTGCGGTATACTGATCACTCCTCCCGTCGGAGGGCGCCATTGCAAGATTGAATTCCGACAGTGTCAAGCGCGTCAGAGACGATGAGATAGTTTCGAGAGACTCAGCGTAATGCCATCTGGAACATGGTCGGAATTTGAGCAAGGACACTCGAAGGGGATGAAGTGATCAAACCAAAAAGCCCCTTCTCATGTGCTCAGACGAGGTTCACTGAGCAGTGGCTCGGGTGTTCCGGAACTTCATATCATGGTACCTAATACCAGGTAGTCTTAGTTGCCCCGATATCGAGATTTCACCGCGCGGGGAATTCTCCAGATTTACCCCGCACTAAGGACGATCACCCGCAAGTTCAAGCTTCGGCAAAGGGGAGAGGGAGTCAGTGATGATCATACTGATCGGACGGATACAGCTACTTGAAACATATTTCTGTTCATGATTGGATACAACGATTAGACGCTAGTTCCGGGTCATGGCTGGAACTTCCGGCCTTTTTCCCAGCACCGGATTCAGCCTGCATTTAGTGTCTTTGGGTCTGTCATTAACAATTTCGGGCCGTCTTGGAGCTGTCGATAGGTTACAAATCACCACCCCCGGATCTTGTAAGCCTTTTCCACGAGTTTGGCAATGCGAGCTGCGTAGCAATCCAAACATGCTAGCTTAGGCTGACACCTGGGGCGTTCGGATTCCTTGGAGTGGAATCATGGATATTGCAGATGGGTGAAATTAATTCAATGGTCCCGTGGCGAGGAGACTACTAGCTTGTATCTTGACCGTTACGCTGGAGTTTAGTGCAGTAGCAACTCTTTCCAGGCCAGTAAGCAACTGGATTTCATCCTGAGAGAACACGATAAGGAACCACCCGTTACTCTCAGAACCAAAGTCTTTTCCCGAAGAAACATAAACCTTGTGTTTCAGAAAAAGCTTCATCAAGAAGTCATCCAGGTCCTCGTCTTTGACAGCTCCAGAATTATGCGTTTCCCAAGCACTCCCAAGATCAGCCCAGAGGAAGAAAGCCGCGTTCGCGCCGGTCGTGTAGGGGATGCCGTGGGTGTTCGCCCAGCGCGCGACAAGCCCGTACCTATCGGCAAGCCTTGTCCTGTTCGTCTGGATGAACATGTCTGACCACTTTTCATCTTCGAGAATGTTGGCTGCAATGTGATCCGATGCAGAAGATGGAGAGCTGTAAAGCGCTACGGCCGCTAATACTTTATGCAGAGACGGATTGGACTGGGAGATGATAGCCCCGATCCGCAGCCCATTCGCGCCGAAGTCCTTCGACATACCCCAAATTGTATGGATTCGGTCGGGTGTTAAGTCAGTTGAGTTGAGTGACAGGCACGATGTGAACGGCACTGGTTCATGCCCTTGGTCCACCTTATTGTCCCACATCGACAAGGCGTAGATTTAGTTGCTGATGAAGTGCATGTCGTTCTTGGAGCAGAACCTCATGAGGCTGAGTAGGCTGGCTTGAGAATAACATCTGCCAAGAGGATTGTGTGGATTCGATATAATAAGCCCCGCGACTCGCTGGCCCTCCATAGCTGTCTTTTCAAGGGCACGCTTATAGTGTTCGACTGCCTCAACGGCCAGGGGGCCGATTGAGAAATGTAGCGAGGGCTGTTTTGATCCTCTTAGATCCAGTCATCCATAGTTGAATGAATGAACTGGCAACTTGGAATGTTTGTGCATATGCTCTGATAGCTCCTGAGCCATCAACGTGTTCTTCGATACACCAAGAATTGCAAAGCCTGCCGGATTGGCAGTAGGGTAGTAGAGATCACCCATAGCTTTCTAGATGTGTAAGTCGTCGCTAGACTTTTCGGCAGATTCGCCTCGGTTAGAGAGATACATCGTGAGCATTCATCGAAGTCAGTAACTGTCGAATTCCAGAGATGCAAAGAACTGAACCGGCAAACACAAGATGTGATGAGCCCAGTGTGTATAGCTTGGTTGTGATGCTATCATGATATTTGAAGCCGTACAGAGGAGTAACACAGATCCACCGGGAATAAAGTGGTGGAGGTACGGCGCCTTGGCAAGCATCTCAGTTGTCGGACTTACGTACTGGTTGAATGACTAACAGGAACCTGGGACTACACTTACGACGCATCCCCGCAGACGGACTACTCCAGACTCTTTTGAACGCACTTTCCACGGTACGCTAATCAACTATTCGACTTACGTACTGCTGATTTGACTATTGTGCAGGGAAGATTGCGAACTGTGCGTTGTCGGCCTGGAGCAGGTGTGGAAGTTGGTCAATAATTGGTGACAAACTATGGCTATTCACGGAATTTGCCCGTGTCTGATACGCATCATCGCGAATAATAATACTTCATGGCAGCGGCTGGAATTCATCTTCATCTTCTCCCACTATCCACCATTTTTCAACCGAATAAATTACAACATGGAACGCACTACAAGGGAGTTGCCTCGCGGCACCTATGCGGCGAGCATGTCGTTCTTTGACGAGACAGCCGGAACCATCGATACGCAGACTCAGCGTCAACACACTATCCGCCTCTCTAAGGCCGGTATCTCCGGTTGCGTGGTCATGGGTTCCAATGGAGAGGCGCCTCACCTTTCTATCGAGAAGCGAAACACAATCATCCGCGAAACCCGCCAGGCCCTTGACAGTATCGGCAGCCAGCAGACCCCGATTATTGCTGGCTGCTCTGAGCATTCAGTTCGAGGCACAATTCATCTCTGCCAGGAGGCTAGCCGAGCTGGCAGCGACTACACCCTTGTTCTGCCACCGTCTTACTTCAGTGATGGGATGAGCCCTGACATCATCGAGGGCTTCTTCATTGAACTTGCGGACCAGTCACCGATCCCCATCATTCTATACAGCTTCCCCGCCGTATCTGCAGGTATTGAGATGGACTCAGGTCTATTGAGTCGCGTGTCCCAGCACCCCAACGTTGCAGGGGCGAAGTTCACCTGCGGCGACACTGGTAAACTAAGCCGAGTCTCCACGGCGATGAAAGCCCGCCAGTCTTACTCTCTCTTCGGGTGTCTGGCAGACTTCATCCTTCCTGCCCTCGTTGCAGGGGCGACCGGTGTGATAGCTGGCGGTGCAAACGTTACCCCGCGGGCCTGCGTGCAAGTATTCGATTTGTGGCAGGAGGGCCGGGTGAAGGAAGCGCGGGAACTGCAGGCTATTCTTGCAAACGGTGACTGGAAACATACCGCGCGTGGCATTTCGGGTACAAAAGCCGCGCTTGATGCTTTGTTTGGGTATGGGGGTAGCCCGCGAAGGCCTCTGAAGGTCTTGTCCGAAGCGGCCGTGTTGGAACCGCGGACTGGCATGAGGGAGCTGATAACCACCGAAGAACGGCTTGGAGCTCGTCTCGCCAAGGCATGAGGCCTTTTCAATGAGTAGTCAGAGTTGCCTGAATGTGCAGCGTCAGTAATGTAACGCCAAAGAGAACTAAGTTGAAGTCTGGAAGGACGGGATCGGCAGTGAATAGACAGATGTTTAGACGGAGAGGGGGATTAGTCATCGGGGCCAAGTGGCTAGTACAGACACGCAACTCCATGAGAAACTTTCTAACTGCATCTCAAGATTTGTTTCTCAAGCGTAACATCCAGCCGAGGTAGTGACCTTCAACGGTCCATGTAGATGCCATGGGAGAGAAATCACATGCAAGCAGCGCTACGAGCTCTGTGGATATTAAGTTTGTTTCCAGAACGTGCGACTTTCGATTTCCTTGCACCTAGTACTGAAACTGCGGGCTAGAAAACTGCGCAACCGCTTGTCACAGCAGGCATTTCGACGCCGCAGAGCCGATCTGATCCATGATCTTCGCGAACGAGCGGATTATAACAACACAGACGAGGGCCAAACTTTGGCCAAGACACGACGCGAGAATGCTGCTCTCCGAGGGAGCTCGCAGAAGCGCATGCCAAGCTGAATAGCTTGCTGGCTCGCGTGCAAGCCCTGGTTCTGAACATGGCTCCAAGACTTGAAGACGCAAATGACGAGGTCCCCAGAACGAAGTCCATCGATGACCAGACATCTCATTCGGAACCTGTTCTTGATTCTCAGGCCACACCGGCGGATCTTCTACTAGAGTCCTAATCTGTTGTACCGGTATCTCCTACGATTCTGGCTACTTATTTCTGCAAGTTATCAAAACTAAACGGCGGACAATGCAGCCAGCTGAGCCAGATCTAGGCCAAGAAAATGTCTCTCAACCGATCTCGGATTCCAGTGTACTCCTGAACTCGTGTGGGATGACTCAATAAACACCCAACATTTGGTCGTTCGAATATCAAGTGGAACCCGAGGTTTACCATGACGCTTTGGTTTCTTCTAAAGACCTGAGTTTCCTGCGGCACCAGATCTGGGTTGACTCAAATTCCTCGTTTTCAGACCACATCGATTTTATACAACAAGAGATCCAACGCAGAACAGAGTCACCCAACTCGCAGTTATCTACACTATTGTCAGCGATGCCACCTGTCCCACCTGGATTATCTTCCTCAGCTAACGGACTTCAGACTCTATCTAGCCACAACTTCGGCACTCTCAATGTTCCACACCATTGCTCGGGAGGATGTGATGTTTTGGTATACTGAAACGAGGTTTTATCATACCCGGGACATCAGTGTGTGGAAGATTCGCCCTTGTGAGGAGACCTTCAATAGGCTCCATCCACAGTATCAGTCAACTCTGCTGCAGCTGCAATGCAGCTATCCTGCGGTCATTGATTGGCTTCCGTTCCCCTCCATTCGTGACTGTCTCATTTGCTATCATGCCGCTAATCCTTGTATTGATCAAGTTGTCAGCGACATCGTCGGCATGTATGTTGTCGAAGCTTTACTAAGCGACTTGATCATAGATTCGCCTCCTATGCAGGTGTACATCAAAGTAGCGGATCTTGTCCAAGCAATGGAGGCAATTTGTGTGGACTTCAGCGAGGAACCGCTGTCTTTGCCAACGTCTAGGGCGACAGACATTTTTGACTTGCTGAATGTTGCCTTAGCCGTTGCGAATCATTTACAGATCGAAAGCCGGCTGGACAGATACAAAGTCGGTCCCCGGCTTTTCATCAAACTTCCCGAGTTCCTCGAAAGCGCTGGGGAGCTCATGGCACATGGTACGCCGCTACGGCCGGAGTATTCATCGTACCTCTCGTTCCCCACCTCGATGGATACCAAGACAGCATCTTCATATCGCAACTTTATTGCTTTTACTTGCTTCAATGTATATGAAAGCCAAGGATAGCACTCTTTCGTAATTGATACGTCAAATTACCAGGTGCCTGTTTTCTGTTACATCGTGAGAAATTGTTCAGCGATATTTACAGCGCCTTCGGTCGTCGTTCGATGGTGATCCACATATCCTTGAAGAAACTTACGCCCCCTTTCACAACATACTTACCAGGGTCTCTCTTACTGAGGATCACTGGCTTGAACGTCCTGAAGAACTGAAGAGGCCCTTTGAACAACTCCATCATTGCAAGGTCTCTGCCCAGGCAAACTCTGGCCCCATATCCAAAACCCATGTTGTACTTGAGCATCTCTTTTGTCTTCTCCTCGCTTTCTAGCCATCGCTCTGGGCGGTAGTCGCTAGCACCGGGACCAAATATGTTCTCGTCGCGATGCACCAGCCACGGGTTGCAAGTAACCTCAGCGCCTTCGGGCACATGCTTGCCGTATAGTTCCATTCCGCCTTTCCCAGCAAGACGAGGAAAGATATTGGGCGCTGAAGGATTCAAGCGCATGGCTTCGCGGATGCACGCAACGTAAAACGGACAGTTTTCCAGAACTTCCGCGTACTGAGGCATCTCTGAAAGATTCCCAGCTCGGGTTTGTTCGTCAATCTCAGCCATGAGACGATCATAAACTTCAGGGTGTGTCATGATGTGCATCATGAAAGCCTGGAATGCAGTGCCCGTGGTATCTGCCCCAGCAAGCAATACAAGTAAGATTTCAGCTTTGATGTAGTCTAGATCAAGAGGGTTTCCGTCTTCGTCACGGGCTTCAATGAAGCTATGAACATGTGAGTAAGCAATACTGAGTAATTGTGGGCGATTTCAGGGCAGAATACTGACGTTTGTAGTAAATCGATGCGCCCTTCTGTCGTTCCTTTCTCGATGTCTTTGAACCTTTGAAGGATGAGCCCATCTCGGAATCTCATCAAAGTCCCGATTCCAGAGTCCTGCTCCGGCGATGCGACAAGGTATTTCCCCATGAAAGTGCTCTTGACCCAATTTGTGAATGGATAGCACCGTGCTAGTATGCCAAACGGCACAAGGCCGTCGTGGAAGCCTTGGATAAGTCCCTCAACATCTTTTCCCTGCTCTATGAAGCCGAACGGCTGTCCGAAGCCAACTTCAGAGACAATGTCGTAAGCAAGGTAGACTGCCCATGGAGCAAAATCCATCTTTGTACCGGAACTAGCGAACGCATCTAGTCTGGATATCCAGCGCTCGATGTGCTTGTCAAGCAAAGGCTCCATCTTCCGAATGTTGGAGAAAGAGTAAGGTGCCGCAGCGATCTTACGGAAGCGAGCATGAACTACATGATCTTGCATGTTGAACAGTGATTCCGTCTTTCCGAAACTGCCGGTGATGTAGTGTTGCGACTTGTTGGCATTCCGGTGGTAGATTTCCGGTAACTTGGTTGCGTCACTCACAAGCAACATGGTAGGTGTGATACGGATGACAGGTCCTATTATTGCGTATCAACTTCTGAATTTGTTTGGATGCATGGAGTCATTATCTCCATTAGCTATATGCAAGGCAACTTGAGTGCGATTCTGATGCCTTTCTGGACGGGCACTTACCATACTTCTTGTGAAGCTCCTGATTCACTCGACACTCATCCTCCCTAACATTATGGTACGTTATCCAAAGACGAGTGACCGAACCCCAAAAAGGGCCGGGAAATTTGACGAGCGGATGGTAGAAGCGATAATACACGATTTGGTAGAGTATTTTCCACACCATATAGGCCGCGGAGAGCAGCAAAATGTTGCCAAGACTAAGCAGAGCCATCTTGAAGGCAATGGTGAACAAGTTGTAGTTGAGAGAATACCATTTTGCTCCATGTTTTCCACTTGATCTGGAACTGGCATTACAACCTCGACCAAAGTCCCAAAGTTGCTGATCATCCTCCGCAACCAGCACTGGGCCTGTCCAAGTGGAGGCCTGAAAGTTCGTCTTACTGGATTTCCTCAACGGTGACATCGTGTCATGGGTGAAGAGTGACGGGCATAGTCCGCCTGATGTTGCATCCACTTGGACTTCCCAGGCACCATTCCCCGCCGCTAAGAGCCGACCGACTAACCACAGCGCAGCTAATTCTACAGACGTAACGTAATTGTGGAAATATGTCGTAACGAGCAACAGGGACCATGATCGGCATTTATGGAAGGATTCCCATTGTTGTCAGACTGCTAGGGACTGGTACCGGCTGCGCACCTATCAGACGGAATGATGGTAATTCCAGGCAAAGCCACTGGAGAAAGAAGTGGGCGCAGAAGCATAGCCAAAGGTTGGCCTTTACGCCCGGGAAAAGCGATATGGCGGCCGCCCACCAAGTGGCGCATTTCTTGCCTTAAGCAGACACATGTACCTTACCTCGTTCAAGTGCCCACTCACGTGATTGGGAAGATAAGTTGGATACCTGCCAACAGAAGATCATTTTGATAACTACCTGACGATTGGCTCAAGACGTATTCTCCGAGTGATAAAGAGAAGATTAAAGATAATTCCGGAAATACTAGGAGTAGCAGAAAGAATAGGAACGCTCTATGTAAATGCAGAGCTAGGAGTTTGGGCAGCATAAAATTTGTTGCCCACTTCCCACGTCAGACGTTAAGGTAAATAGGTACCGCTACAAGTTCTTCGAAGTCGGCTTCTTTCATAATCAAAACAAGGGGTGACGTGGTTGGACTACAGCCTGCGAGTGCTCTTGAGAACATGTAGCTATAGTCATCCAGCTACCCGGAAGGGTGTCCGATACAGCCACAGCGTCCCGCAGCTACTGGGGAACTCCAATGCTAGACATCCTCAATATTTTTTTGACACTCGTTGAGACCTAGTCTATCGGTTATTTCGTACCAATTGGCAAAGTCGGTTGGAAATTGGAAACCAGGTGGCGTGGCCCCCATCACCATGCAATCAACTGGCCGGTCTGCGTGACCAGTTTTCCGGACGTGGACTCACGGCTCGCTCCGTCGATGACCTCTAGAACGCCAGTAACGGAGCTCTCGATCGTGTCAAGCCGGTTGAGATCAAAGTTCCACTGCTTCGCAGCATCTTCACCCATGGACGTCCGTACAAATCCTGGGTGAACAGCCACACTGACCAAGTCGGGATGCTGTATATGTAACGATTTGACCAACCAGTTGAGAGCAGCCTTGCTGGGGCCATAAGCGCCAGCAGGAAGAGGCTCTTGTTCTTCGATGGATCCAAGCGATGATGTGATTCCGATGAACTTGGCAGGGGGGCCGTCTGCTCCTTGCGGTCTTTCCAAAAGCGGCCAGAGGCCTTGGAACACCATCAAGGGTGCGATGGTGTTGATTTCGAATGCGCTCCTTAGTTCGTCGGCGGTGGTCAAGACTGAGCGCGATGCTGTGGCGTTTACGGCGGCGTTGCTGATGAGAACATCAACCCGGGTAACGGCGTCGCCAGTCGCCGTATCAAAGGCTTTGCGGACGACAGCAGTGTCAGGGGCGATGTTGAAGTCAAGCAACATGACGAAAAGCTTGCTGCCGTTGCCCTTGTTTACATCTCGAATGCTGGACTCCAGTGAAGAAGCAGCTCCATCGTTTCTGACGGAGGCAACAACTGTTGTAGATGGCCTCGCTAACAAGGTCTTGACTAGGCCAAGGCCAATGCCCTTGTTGGTACCAGTAATGACATATACGGTGTTCGGCATTATCGTGCGGACAGCGACAATGTTGGATGCAAAGATTGCAAAGTACTGCGCTGGCTTATGGATGAATGCTCGTCCGCGACGCAACTGATCGGAGCGGTAGTTAGTAAACAATGGATGCGACGTGGTGATGTGTGATAAGGTCTGGTAGTAAGGAGAGTGTGCGGGAAAGAAGAGGTGATCGGCGGGATCATGGCATCCACTCTAGATAAATACAATGTTGAAGGATCAGGCCCCAGGGCAAGGGGTCAAAGAAAACACGTGAATCCCTTAGGGCCAATCCATCGACCATATGAGCACCTCACGTCAGCAAAGAATGCTGGTTGCGTGATACCCAATTTTACATGCGCATGTCTGTATTGCGTGCCGCACCTTCCGATGTTTCTACTTTCCATCCTTATGCTGTTGTGAGCTGTCTCTTTTTCGACGCGTTCAAGTTGGGATCGCACGGAAACTCTTCGCTAACGATCAAAACAACAGATTGGCTTTCTCATGCGCTGCATCCAAACCACCAGCAAAACCATCAGCGATTTTCAATGCTTCGAGACGCTCTTCCTCAACCTTTGCCCAAGTCCACTCTCCGGAGTCATTTGCCTCTGGTGTGACGTCTGCAATGGAGCCTTCAGGTTGGTCTCCCGACGAAAGAACACCTGCCGCCTGGAAGAACTTCTGTGGTGGCACAGTGAGACGGCCGGCTTTGACAACGCATTTCGAGATTGCTGTCGCGTAGATGAGAGGCGATGTCTGAGCAATTTTGCTTTCATCTACTTCCTTCCATGGCTGGTAGGTGGGCGACTTGCCCTCCTTCCGCTTCTCGACAAAATGGGTCACAATGTACAGCCACTTCTTATCCCAGGTAAGGACTCTGCTTTGCATGTCAAAGGCAGCACCAGGCTTGATTTCCTTCTTGAAGGTGCATGAGGTGCCTGCGAGCAGAACCTGAACACCTTTCTTGTACTCCTTGTACAGACCGCCATGGATTGCTTGAGCTCTCAGGGCGGCGAGAAGGTCCGTCCTTGCAACATCAAGGTCAGAGAAGTAGGTGCTGTTTGACTTGTGCAAGTTGTAGTCGGTCTCTAACAGAGCAACGCGAGAAGGTGTGACCACCGGCTGAAAGATAGCGCCGGGTTTGCGCTCAAAGAGTCCATTCTTGGGCCACCAAATGTGGCTGAACACACGAAACTGACATTCAACATTAGGACTGATTTGTCTATATGGTAGTCAATTATGCCCATAGCAGCAACTCACATGCCAAACAAACGGGATCCTCTTCAGATTCAGATACAGCAGTGCAGCCGTGACGACTCCCCATGCTGTCTGGGCTTTGTTCGAGGCGACAGATTGCACCACCTGCTCGAGGATCCGACGAAGGCACGGCTTAGCAGCCCCCAGCACATCTGTCATTGTTCCCCGTAGCGTGGAGTTTATCATGCCGAATTCTTCTGTAGAAGGTCGTGGAATGTAGTCAGGTAAGTAAAAGCTAGACTTCAGGCTGAGCGGGATGGCCACGGAATATATTCAAAGCCTCGACGTGGCCACACGAGTCAGTCGGTTAGCAGTGTTGTTGTAGCGAGTCATTCACCTTGAATTGATGGGCTCGGATACTCTTATCAAGAAAGGACGTCGCAAGGCGCTGCCTAGCGCGCGGTATCACAGTCATTAATTCTAGGTCCTCTTCAAGACTTGATGATTTTGTTCTCGCAAAATCCAAGTTCTGTACGGCACATTTGAGAAGGATACTACGATTGATTTGCTACTTTAGATCTCAAGGATTGAGTTTTGTAAACTACATCTAGTAAGCAGTATTGCGCATAACATCGCCTGGATGGCGTGTTCTTCTGGAAGAATGACCTTGTCGGGATCCGTAAGTACCCCGAATTCTGATCCGGAGCTGCTCGCCACATGTGGGCCCGTTCGGCGCCAAAATCTCGATCGGGTCCGATCCGGATTGGAGATATCTCGGCCGAGCTTGCGGAACAGGGCGTTGGAATGCCTCGTGTGCAACGAATCATTGAGAAAAAGCCTGCCTTATCACTCTCATTGACCAAGACATAGTCGACATTATTTCCTGCTCAAATCGCCTTATCATCTTTTTCGAGTGATGATGTGGTGTTCTGTGGAAACGCAAAGAAGTTCTCCGGTTTCGAAATAGAAGACACCGGGTTAGGTTACTGGCGCCATGCTGGTCTCACCAACTTCGCAAGCCCCGTCTTTGGAAAAACGAGTTGTGGCAGTTCCTTGTCCCATGAAATCGCTTTCAGGAAAGTTTGAAGAATGTTTGGAGCTTCAATATCTGAACCTAGGTAATGGTTCTCACTTGAGGAGCAACGTGTAAGGCGAGTCTAAGTTTCCTGCATGTCCAGTCAGCGGCACTTATCTACCGGTTATGAGGCTGCATGTCCGGTGGAGGTTTGGCTGCGATCGGTGTTTTGTAGAGAATCGCGCGAGCGTGAAAGACAATCTTCTGGTGCATTCCTCCAATTCTAGTGCAGGTAGCGAGCACAGACTCCACGTGTACAAGTCATTACTAGTTGAGCAGATCGATTTTTTCGGAGGTCCATACGGATAGATGAACGAGCGTTCGTCCTGGTTTGTGTCTTGCAGAGCAAATAAACAATGCACTAATCATCCGAGGAGAGACAATGTGCTGCAGATCCAGCTGTGCGTGCTCTGCATAACCCTCGGGAGATTTCCTCGCATCTCAGACACACCATCAATGACCATGTTGCTAGACTTTTCAGCTAGCTGAACACACACACGCACACCCAAGGTGGTCTGGATTCGGCCAGCTGTCTAGCTCCCTGAACACAAGGACGGGTAGCCAGGATGACAGCACGCTACACGCGTCAATGAACTTGAGCGTATTCGTTCCATCAGGCTGTTGTCAAAGCACGAGCAGGAGGTAAAGGGATCATCGCCATCGGTAGTCCGTCTGCACCGCGCCCTGTCGTACCCAAGTTACTTCCGGTCCGCTGAGCTGACGCTCCACGCGGCCAACGGACGCCCCTGACAAGTGCCGTCATTTAGCGGCACAACGCATCGGCCGAGGGCCCAAGTGCCAATCATCAGCACAGGCTCATTTCGGTAGAAGTCGGTGTGGTTGCCAACGGAAGAGCCGCAGCGCTTCGACAGAGGCGATCTTCCCACCCTCCATGACGTAGAAATGGCCAGGCACAGGCCCAGCAAGTTCTCCCGTCTTGGCTTTGAGCCGGCTTGCCGATTGTTCGTGGGGAACTTAAGAGCCCCATCCCATCCACATTGCCAATTCGGTCCAGCCAGTCGCCTAGTTCGAGACATTTGCTATTGACGTCAACAAAACAGGGAATCTAGTGGCATAAGAGGCTTACCACTTTTTCCGGCTCCTCAATGATCTCACTAATGGCTGGACGTAGCTAGAAGCTATCCAAATTGGACCAAAACGTCAACACAGCGCAAGCTATATGAGCTCTGTGCAGCTGCCCAGAATGTTTAGATGATTTTAAGTTTTGCTCCACACTGATTTCCATCTCCAAAGTGCGGACTTTATCACATCACAATCGTTTACGCGACACAATGGCTCGCCAACAGAGTCTGAGCTCTAGGCTCATTCAATTGCTGCCTTTCGTTGCCTACTCTTCGGCATCAGCACTGTACTCTACCTATAGCTTCAACCCGTTGACACACCTGGGAGGCATTGCCCCGTACTTCGAATCACAAGACCCTCAATCATCGCCCGACGCGCCACAGGGATGCAAAGCAGAACGTGCAGCTTACCTGGTGCGACATGCAGCCATTTACGCAAACGACTTCGACTTCGAAGAGTACATCGAACCCTTCCTCGAAAAGCTGGGCAACAAGACGAACATCGAATGGAGCAAGATCCCCTACCTGAACTTCTTGTCGGGCTGGGATGCACCGGTATCTGAGGCCGAGGCCGAATTTTTGACACGGGTCGGGAGACTTGAAGCGACTCAACTCGGCGTCGACCTGGAGTTCAGATACCCCAACCTCAGACTCCCCAAGAGAGTATGGACCTCTTCCGCAGAGAGGACAGAAAAGTCTGCTGAGTCTCTCGTGCGCGGGCTCGAGACCGACGACAACACCATGAACGTGGTCAGCATCTACGAATCGGAGGAGTCAGGCGCAGACAGCTTGACCCCTTACAAGGCCTGCCCGGCTTACTCTTCCTCTGCGGGCAGCAAACAGTCTGCCGTCTACCAGGAAAAGTTCACAAAGCCCATCATTGCCCGCTTCAATGACTTGGCCCCCGAATTCAACTTCACCACCAACGACATCTTTGGCATGCAGCAGCTTTGCGGATACGAGACCGTCATCCGCGGGAAGTCTCCTTTCTGCAACCTGGAGCTCTTCACTCCCGACGATTGGCTCGCCTGGGAGTACACTGAAGACGTCCGCTACCACTACAACGTTGGTTATGGAGCTGAGGCCTCTGGATATGTCGGCCTTCCCTGGCTGAACGCCACCGCAAACCTGCTCATGGGTGACTCAAGCGACGAGGACATCTATGTCAGCTTCACTCACCGTGAATTGCCTCCCATGGTCATCGTTGCGATGGGTCTTTTCAACAACTCTGAGTTTGGTGGCAGCGAGGCTTCTATCAACGACACCATGCCGCTTGACCGCATCAACTACCGCCGTGCATGGAAGGCCTCTAGCATACTGCCGTTCCTTGGCAACATTGCCGTTGAGCGTCTGAACTGCACCGGCGCCTACGGGTACGACAATGGCGATTACTACCGTGTGCTGGTCAACAGCGCACCTCAACCCCTCCCCGACTGCGCTGATGGCCCCGGCACTTCCTGCTCCAGGAAGGGATTCGAGACGTATTTGCAAGACAGAGTGGACCAGTTCTCTGGCTTCTCCGAAAAGTGCGGTGTCGAGTACAAGAACAGTACCGACGTCTTGTCGATTTACACAGATGCCGCGGTTGGCAATGGAACCACAGTGGGCAAGCGATATGAACCATTCCTCAATTGAATGTAGCGTAGGATGGCCTGTAATCATAGTACTAAATAATGTTTCATACTTCACTCGATATCCAACCTTGTGGAACTCCACGTTATTTACTTCCTTCTTTGTCCCTGATTAGCCAGCAGGAAACTGCATTTGATGTTATCACTGGCGTCTCACACCGAACACCATGCGGGTCATCCACGAACGCAACCAAAGCCACAATCTTCGCGCTGTCACAGCATATGACAACATGTAAAGAACAGTCCGGTCGGTGACTCTAGAAGTGTCAATCATCTTGTAGTTTTCTAATATTAGCAATTGCACTCTTGTCGATTCATCATTGCAAGGCGCTTACCATTGGATTCTTGCCCCCGCTCCTCTTCACCCATTCAAAGGCCCGAGGTATGACAGCCCCTTCATACTTGTCACAAGCCTGTGTTATGTCGTCCTCTTTCACTCCGTTCGTAGTTCTTGCTGTCTCTGCTAATCGGACTAGTAAAGGTAAGGCATCGGCAGTATCTCGCATGGCTTGATTGCCGCCCATTCCCCTGTGGATGTCAGTCCCGAAACTTTCTATCGTCTATGGGAGGGTTCACCTCGAAGGAAACATTGAGTGCAAAGAGTCCCCTATGAGCCATATGTGCGGATTTCCAAGCCGTTTGTCATCAGCTGATACAACTGATTTGCGCCAATTCATCGACGGACGGGAGGACACTCGTGGTGCTCCATAGTACATCTCTTGACCCCTGAAGACTCCAATTATGTCTTGACTATGCAGAGAAACATGTAAGCAATACACTTCGGACTTAAGGCCGGACTTGCGGAGACACCCATACTGTTTCGGAGACCAGTCCTCAAAGAGATGGTCAACAGCATCCCACTTTTCTGCTTGAGACAAAGATTCAAAGCTGCGTGAGGTTATCATGCGGTTGACAAAGAATCCAACACCGAGCATGCACGACGCTAGCTCTTCGTCATTGTCTGCATCCACATTTCCAAGACGAGCTGTCATATCACCAGGCAAGTAGACTAAAGAGACAATTATCAACACCAGGTTCCCACTGAAAAGGCTTAAATAGTTGTACAGGGATTAAATTACCTTGGAAATACAACGTCTTGCCATCGTGTAAGGTCGCTATGGGCGAACTGAGATCTGGTGATAGCCGGCGGCAGACGGACAATGGAAGATCGCATCTAGTTAAAAACGACCTAAAAGAGGTCAACTCCTCAATGTTGTTCAGTCCTAGGAGTTTATTGATCTACCATGAATCATTGATTACCAATGGGCAGGAGGGGGCGGGAATCGTTGGTGAGTTACCTGCGAGTTATTGCCATCAGCAGCGATCAAAATGTCGCAGACATCGGAGGTGCCATCATCGAAATTCACCTCGACTACATCGCGGCCGAAATCTGGACGAATCATACAGCTCTCGAATCTCTTTTGATAGTGAATCTTGCCCATTCTGTTGAGCGGCTCGCGAAGAATATCCTGGAGGACGACGCGGCTGATAGGTGAGGATTGTGTATAATTCGGGTCTCTGCCTGGTTCGAACATCTTGCGGAAGTGCTTGTCGTACAGAATCGGTGCCTGTGATGCTGACCTGCCAAAGTGCTTGAAGATGGAGTCGATATGGTCCTGGTCAAGGCATGCCCTCATGCCTATGAATGTAGCTTCGCCTAAGCGGATCTGATAACCTTCTCTCTTGGAGTTCTTCTCTTGTCTTTCATAAACCTCGAATTCGACATTGTGTTGAGCTAGCCCGTTGGCCAAAAGGCTGCCAGCGAGGCCCCCGCCAACAATGATCACTTTGAAAGGGGGATGTGTAGCGGAATTGCTCATTACGGAGATATTTTGATCCAGATGATCAATGGAAAGTAAAACGGCTGGAATTTGAACACTTGCTGTTACTGCCTTCAATCAAAGAATCTGTTGCGACCTCTGCTGACAGCCTACTCTCCAAACGTCTCGAGGCAGAAGAAAGCCGATGACTTGACTCTTAATATTGCGAGACTACAGGAATTCGGTAGCTCATGTGCCCGAGACTACCGCTTCGGCCAAGAATGTTCACCGAGTACCGAAGCCAAATGCCTAATATCCCAAGACTTGCAAGGATCCAGATCATCTGATATTCGACTTTGCAAACTTCCCCGCTGCTCCCAATTGGCAGGCCACATCATGAGACGAGTGTTTGGCCGGCATGATTGGCCGCAGCGAAGCTAAAATGCGAGACGGGACGAGAATTGGTGTCCCGAAAGCGGCACTGAAGGCGGAGTTTCAAAAGCAATGGTAATTCGTTCGAAAATGATCGGTTACGTGGTTGATGGCATTGTCCCAATCCCCGTTAAGCTTCATTCCTTACATTCCTTTCATTCCTTTACCTTCCTTTGGAAACAAGGCACTGATGCTCCAATGTCAGTTACTGGCTATAGTGTAGAATATGGCTGCTAACATGCAATCTGATGATAGCTTCACTGTAGAGCTCGTGGGTGTTGATGGTAAAAGCTGGGTAATATACCGACAAGAAGTATCGCTCATGTTAGTAAGTGGGTACCTGGCGATAGCCCGCGGTTGTCCTGAATGTAGGACGCAAGAAACAGTCTGACTCGTATGCTTCAAAAGACAACATATGCCAGTCATCAATCTCCAACGCGTTCACACGGAACGGCAGGAGTATAGAAACTTGGGCTCCAGAGGCTTTGTTTTCGCATGACCGAATAGATTGGCTGCAGCCTATGTAGCTCAGAAATGTTTTGCCTAACAGGTCATCTCTTGACACAGCATCTACTCATATGAACTCTTGTCTCTACATGCAGATTCAGGTTTACCTACCCATACTCGATGTCACGCAGTCCTGTTGGCGCCCATTCACTAGAGAGAATTCTTATTACCAGCATACTCAAAGCCATAGCTTCAATATCATTGATCTAGACCTTTCATTTGTATTGCAGTACGTAATGAAAACGGATCTGGTGTGGAAAACTTGGTAATACCTGTACCAACATGAACACCTCGACGCTATTGCGGGAGCTTTCGCTGATAGCGGTAGTACATGGGTCATCGGCGTCGGCCGCAGGCCGCTGCAACCCCCATGCGTGGATATCCTAACATTCACCTGCATGTAGATTCTCGTTGTGCCGGAGTTCATCCCCTTCTTGGCGACGGCTGAAAGGTGAGGCGATGCAGCACGCAACTTCGACCCCTACGCGGAACTCCCGCGCGGCGCATGGAGTCCGGCGTTGAATTGCGCCATAACCACTAACGCGTTGTTACGTATCATTTTTACTACTTTACGGTCAAAAAGGAAGTGGTGATGGTTCCAGGTGCCGACCGTCGGCCTACTGTCTCCTATCTCTTGTAAAATACCCGACGACCAAATACCGTACATTACAGAACAATTGATGATGGGAAAGTATCATTTTCAAGTAATATGAGGTTTACAGACAGGTGTTCGACTCCAATACACCTCCAAGTCACGATGGCACGGTAACATACTTCACTTTGAAGTCAATGCCATTTTTGTACGATCTTTGAAGCTTAGGGTGACCGCGCTCAACTTTTGTTTTTTTCTTCATTTTCCCATAATTTCTTTCTTCATGTTGGCTGACCGGGAAGATTCGCCATGCTTGCGACAGTTGTTGTCATCGTCAGACCCTGTTTAGCCCCTTGGTCCCCCACATCGGAGGCTGGTTGTGTCATCCACCCCTCGGATGTTGAAATCGGGAACGGCCCGTTAGCGAACGTCTACCAGATCACCACCCAAGCTCGTCGGCATCGAGAGCGGATGAAGACCGCAATGTGTCCAAACCTCTTCGGATGGCAAAAGTCAAAATGCAAGGATAAAACTTTGCGGGAAGAACGAGAGGCCCTTGGTTTAAAAAGGTAGGTGGAAGCCAGCACGATTCCTTTGATGAGCTCACAGTGCAGCACCCTTGATCGAGACCTGCCCGTCTTACACGTCTTACACCGACGGCTCAACTACACCGGAAGATTAAATTTTTGAGGCGCTACACTCAGCCCTACCCGTGTCCTCGCGTCTTGGTACTCGTTCAATGGCTTGGCGACGTCCGTTTGGCGATCGCGCTAGCGCGCAAGGGACGGTTGTTGGAGGCCAGCGAGAGCAGATCTCAAACGGCAGCACACAGTACGTCGGCGAGAAAGGAGGAAACGATGCGCCTCCCACCTATCAGGATGCTTCTGGAGCGCCTGTCGAGAACAACTCGCCTCTAGGATACGATGTTGGCCCTGTCACGATCACGCTTCTAAACATCACGATGATGATTGGCGCGGGTATCTATTCTACTCGTAGGTTCGACCGATTCGATGTTTTGCACAACCGTTACTGAATCTATTCAGCGGCTTCCATCTTGAATGGCACTGGCTCAGTCGGTGTCAGCTTCATCTACTGGACTCTTGGATACTTGGTACGTTCCTGTGGTATTTCAATGACTACAAGTAACATGTTGCCCTGGAGGGAGTAAATGCTGACCATCTCTACCTCTAGTTGTGCCTTGCTTCCGGAGCTGTCTATCTCGAATTCACAGCGTACTTCCCTAGTCGATCAGGATCTGAGGTTGTGTTCCTCGAACAAGCCTTTCCCCGCCCAATGTGGCTCTTTCCAACTACCTTTGCGGTCCAGAGCGTCATTCTCTCTTTCGGAAGTGCCAATGCCACCGTCATGGCCAATTACCTTATTGCCATTTCAGGACATGAGGGCACTAATTGGCAGATCAAGGGCACTGCACTGGCTTGCTACAGTTTGGCCACACTGAGTGAGTTTCCACGTTACCAGACCCTTCGCATAAATCCGATATGGCGTAGTTCATCTACTAACCACCTGCAGCGCTGGTTTTCAACACAAAGTATGCATACTGGTTCTCCAATGGCGTCGGAATCGTGAAGATTTGTACCTTGCTCTTCGTAATCATTACTGGATTTGTCGTACTCGGCGGTGGCACCAGGGTTGAGAACCCAACCGCCAATTTCCAGGATGCTTGGTCAGGAAGCAAGACAGCCAGTGCCTATGGTATGACCACGGCTCTTTACCGCATCATTTTCTCCTTCGGTGGCTACAACAACGCCTTCAACGTTGCCAATGAGGTCAAGGTATGAGCCATGATGCCAGGCGAGAAATGATCCCAGACTGATCCAGAACTCGTTAGAACCCTGTGCGATCCCTCAAGATCTATGCGACAGCTGCACTGACGACTGTGTACATTTTGTACATGTTCGCCAATGTCGCGTTCTTTGCCGCCGGTAGGTTGCCCAAGTCTTTAGGATTGAGATCTTGGCATCATGTCTAACGAAAGGATGCTACAGTTCCAAGAGAACTCTTGGAGAAGTCCGGCCTTACCGTGGCAAGCTTGTTCTTCACCCAAGTCTTCGGCAACAGTGGCAATGTTCGGGGACTCAACTTCCTTATCGCACTAGCTTCATTTGGAAACATGATTGCAGTTATTATCGGACTATCTCGACGCATCAGAGAGTGTGGCCGACAGGGCGTCTTGCCGTACACGAGATTCTGGGTTTCCACCAAGCCCTTCGGTACTCCCCTTGGGCCTTATCTCGTAATCTGGTCTCTCACCGCTCTGATGATTCTCGCGGTTCCTGCTGGAGACGCCTTCACCTTTGGTGAGTTCTATCGCTCAGCTGGCGTTCGATGCAGCAGACTGACTTTGATTAGTGAATGACCTCGGAGTTTTCCCGACGGCTGCATTCAACTTGGCCATGGCTGTGGGAATCTACGTCGTTCGCTGGCGCCGAAGGAAGGCCAATCTTCCGGAGCCTGAGTTCAAAGCCTGGCATGTGGTTATCATTTTCAACATCTGTATTCAGCTCTACCTTCTCATCATGCCGTGGTACCCCCCGGCAGGTGGACAGTATGCCGGCGACGTCAGCTTCTGGTACGCGACGTACGCCGTTACTGGTGTTGGAATGTGAGTGGGATCCTTCCCTCATATCTGCTTCTTGAGCGAACGCTAACCCTAGGACACACAGACTCCTTGTCTGCGCTGCCTACTACTGGCTCTGGGCATCCCTTCTTCCCAAATGGAGAGGCTACAAGCTGAGGCAAGAGCTGGTCAGCTTCGATGACGGGGCTCAAAGCAATCAACTCCGGAAGATTCCAAACGCCGAGCTTTCTGAATGGGACAGCACTCACGATGCGAGTGGTCGCCTCATCGGGACATCTGCCGATGAGGTTCTCGTGCAGGAAAAGGGGGTGCGCGTTTCCTCTGAGGGAAGCAATTCCGATACAGGCAAACAAGTCCCAAATGTAGTGAGAGAAGCTCACAACGTCTGAAAATGTAGCGAGGAGTGTGAAGGAACTGATGATTAGCGGATGTACACAAGCCACATGCCTGCTGAGGTGAACAAGCTACACTTCTTGGCTTTTTCATTCAATACTATCATGAAATTTGGTCCATATGGACACATCGTTCTCGCAGACTCAGACGGCAGTCAGCGATAATTAGCATAAGATGTAACCCCCTTGCACCTGCAAATTAGAGCACGTTGAATCGAAGTCGGCAACAGACACGCATTTGTTTCCCTGCTGATTCTACCGCTTGTGATGCAGGGCGACTCTTGTTTCCCTTTTGCAGGTTTGCCAAAACCTCAACATACTTTCAGTGTCTTGGCGTCAGCTCAAGGAAAGGCCCTAGGCGAATCGCAATTTCCTCATGTTTCCCCCTGCTATCAACTACGACAAGGTATCACAATACCGCGTTAGGCTGCTATGTCATCATGATCCTGCGTGCCGCTAGGCCAATCACACAAGCGGCGATCGCTACTGCATGCGCCCGCCCTCGGCTTGTGTGGCTGAATGACATCATGCAGCTCTCTCCCTTTATCAGAAGCTCGAGACAACAATCAAGGTGTTCATTAAGAAACTGGTTTGACTAGAGGCATCGCAGACATCAATTTGGAAAAAACCGACCGGAACTCATTCTCCAGATTCACAAACACCAGCAACCTGTGACCAACACCTCACCTCTTCACAATGTTGAGCAACGCTATCCGAAGACGGGCTCTGCCGTCCGTGATGGCGGCCTCACGTCCAATGCCTCTCGCCGCACGTGCAACCGCTGCTTCCGGCGCCAGATTTCTCAGCGATAAGCCCGGCCTGGAATCCACGGATATCAGGGACATTGCGGACGCCAAGAAGACAAACCCACCCCAGCCGAAGATCTCCAATGCCAGCGTCAACGGAGAGAAGCTTACGGAAGAGCAACAACGCGAGGTGGATGAGCACAACAAGGACTTTGAGAAGAAGCATGACTCAGCACCAGCTGCTGAGGACGACAAGGTCGACAAGAAGTTTTGGTCGAATAAGTAAAGCTGGCGGTAGATGAAGGAGCCAGCTGGACCGAGCCTGTGTGGAACAGCCATCTCCTTGTTGGATGCATGATTTTTCGAATACGCTGCAGCAGTTGACTATGCTATGGAATACCTTCAATGTTTACACGACGTTATATGTACTAGTAGTTTAGGTGATTTACTGGCGGATGTGGGTCATTTGTTGATCGCACCGGGCAGAGCCATGAGGTGCACGTGAGTATATTCACCTTCCATCGCATGTCTATACCTCGAATACAGCATGAAAGGTACTTGATTGTATTTTTGCTCCTTCGCCCTCAACAAGTGACTGGAAAATAATGGCTGAGTGGTCAAAGGCGGGGGCCTATGTGACGATGCCTGGGCAACTCCTCCATTACATACCATCGCCTAACCTTTTGTTCGATTACCCATCGGCGAACCCCTTTTCTCCTCTTTCAAACCGCTTTCATCATGCCTGCAAAATTTCATCAATCAGCAATGTCATTCATCAGGTTCCGTTCTAATTGAGTGCCTCACGGCCAAGGTCCGGCATCACCTCAGGTACGAAATGAAAGCCTCTCCGAGATCCCATCTTCGAGAATCAATGCAAATTACCTTACACATCTGCGCTTTACGGTATGATGGTAATTCGAGTCAACCTGACGTTGTACTCGGGTTAATTCGGCAAATCATTGCTGCAGACTAAGTAAGGTACATGTAGGTACCGGTAGTGAGTTGGCGGACAATCCCGCGTGCCAAGACTGTAAACGAAACCCATAGACAGCCAAGCGTTTGACATTGAAGGGAACGAGTAGTCGACCAGCGGGTAGCTTGGGTCCAGTCATATTGGATTTAGCCGTCTGCTTTCCGCGATTCAATCAGGGTTGCGTAGTTCCTGTAGCATCGAAACTTTCTTCACAAATCACATGTGGAATGCAGCATCTCAAAAGTAGAAGAAAAGAGCCTTGGTCGGACAAGTTATCGTTGAGTTCTCTCTGCAATAGACTCCCCCAGAATGTAAATCATCGTCATCGACTTTTATTGCACGTATACGTGGTACACCTCACTCTATCTGAGGTACAGCTACGCGGTAAGCAAGTTGATATTTACCAGGAGGTCGCTCACAGAATCACATCTGTCCTCTACTGAGGCTGACCCTGGAGGAAACTCTGGAGCATCCCGTATTACGTGATGAAACGACTGCCAAGGTTCACTCTATTAAGCTTGAATGAAGTAAGGTTGCAAAATAAACAAATGGTCCGATGTTGATCAAACCGCATCACGCCGAGATAAATTGCCGGCCTTGGCATATGGGTTGTCAAGTGCCAACTGAAGTTATTCGGTTTGAGAGTTCAGCTTCTGAGGCTTATTTATAGCAACGCAGCTGATGAGGGTCCAGACAGCGCCAAGAGGTAACCCAAACAGCTCACGCCAGCAAAGACTAATATCAACTTCGAAGGTTTGAACGCTGATCACGAGAGTTCCCCTCCTCTTCAATGTCTTGGCGGTGCCCAGCAGTGGCTACGTCCAATGAGCTTCACGTCTCAATGAGCGTCGTGATTGCCTGGTTGCGACCCCAGTGCTGAGCCACTTTATAGTCCATACTGAATTATTGCGTGGTATCAACTTGCAGTCTTAGTAAAGCTGCCTGACTATCGTCATGACGCGATGTATCAGACTCCAGATTCGTGGATACCTCATGATCTTGGGGGTCTTGGCGGGGGTTGCATCGAAGGAGGTGCCGAAGATGTTGCGTTGCACTGAGTTAGAAACGTACCGCGCACTTGCTGTCCATTTTAGCTAGGTACTTACCTACTGTACGAGTACTTCCATGCTTCTCAGTCCCAATTCCCTTCAACTCTGAAGTCTGAGTTACTCATCATGGCCACTTTACTTGAAAAAATACGTCAAATGTATAGACTACCTAAGATTTTCGGAAATCCGATTCAGCACCTTGAAGCATTTTAAGACAACGATGCAGTCATCCAGAGGCGTAGACATGCCAGTAAGGGCTCAGGTAGCTAAAGGGTGTTGGCTGGGGCATTTAGACCATTTTTCTCGAACATCGTGGGAATCTTTTATTTTTATTGCCAAGAGAGGCAGATCAGCAGCTTCAAGTTGGTTTTGTGTAGACTCGCTAATCCTCGTAGCACAGTCTTGGCTGGGGCTCACATCTTCTGGCAGAGCATCACTGCGTGACTCGTGCGGCGCTGTCGCCCAACGCCAAATAATCTGACCGACGGAGCTCTTCCAAAACCCAGCCGGAGGAGGCTTGGCCGCTTGCCTCGGTTGCCAGAGAGGTAGACCGAACGCTACCATACCAATGAACCTCGGAAACTCCTCTTCAGAGAAGGAAGAGGAAGTGCAAAAGAGGGAAAAGCTCGCGTGTCCTCCTGCCCAGTAGATTGCCACCGTGCTCTCAGAGAAGCAAGAGGGCACGCGACAGCGGGCTGATGTCGCGCTGCTAGCGTCAGATCGCAGGCTTGGCGACATCACGACGAGGGTTGAGAACTTGAGCAGAGACTCAACAGAGACACAGAGAAATAAGCCATGCTCGATCATCGAGAGCGTATTGAGACGACAACGTGCTCTCACAACCCGCTCTGACTGGCTGGATTCTCCTGACGGATCTGTTTTTGGTACCTTGAAAGCCAAGAGGGCCAAGTCCTCCAGTGGCACCCGCTTCACCAATCTCAGCTCGCTGTGTGGATGAGCGCAGAGCTCGGCGCAGACTGGGCATCCGTCAAGACATCCACCGCAATGGGTCGAGGACTCGCGACACTGACATATCTGGGCAAAATGCCATCTTGTAGCCTACCGAACAGTATTGAAACCGACACGTACCGTTGAGAAGTTTTTTTTCCTTTCCCCTCCTCTTGTAACCAAGACTCAAGCTGAGGCGACTATAGCCAAGGACTCCAAAAACGTGAACCCTGAAGGGCTTGCCATCGACGCGGTGGGGAAGGAGGAGAACAGCAAGAGGTTCGTCCTAACAATAATGGCGATCTGTCGTTATAAAGATGGTGGCGTTCCAGGGCTTTCAACACCTTGACAGAGAGGCCGGCAAGCCATCCTCCTTCGAGCTCGCCTGCCTTCGAGCTTTCTCACCTTTGTTGGTGAAATCATCTCCCACCATCTGTACTCTTACCTCCCCGATCTCCCTAGCGGAAGACAACAACACTTCCCAAGTTAGCCTTCATCATGGCTGTCCTTACGCAGTATGACTGGATCATCGCAGTAATCACTCTCGCCTTTTGTGGCAGCTCCATCGGGAACGGGGCAAACGATGTCGCCAACTCATATGCCACCTCCGTGGCAGCCAGGACCTTGACCATGCCACAGGTCGGGTTTCTCTCTATGTGCACAGAGTTCTTCGGTGCCGTTGTCCTCGGCTCCAAGGTCACCGGCACAATCAAGAACAACATCATCGAGCTCGACCGGTTCCGCACGACACCTTCCACCCTCATCCTCGCCATGGGCTGCGCCGAGTTCGCGAGTGCTTTCTGGCTGCTTGCTGCCACAAAAGTTGGATATCCGGTCTCTACGACACAGACCATCGTCGGAGCGCTCGTTGGTGTTGGTATTGCCGCCCAAGCCCAGGTTTCATGGGCCTGGAGTGACGGCAGTGTCTCCCAGATCGCCGCATCCTGGGGCATTGCTCCCTGTATCTCAGCTGCGTTTGCCGCCATCTTGTTCGGCAGTCTCAAGTTCACCGTCCTGGAACGCGAGAACTCTTTCGAGAAGGCTATGAAGGCCATTCCTTTCTACTTGGCGTTCACGGCGGCTATTCTCGCTCTCTTCATCACGGTCGAGGCCCCCGGTGCACCGTCGCTTGAGGAACTCGGTGCTGGAACAGTATGTGGTATCATTCTTGGTGTGTTCTTCGGCATTCTTCTCCTCTCTTACATCTTCTTCGTACCCTACGTCCACCGAAGACTCGTCAAGGAGGATACTCGCATTCGCCTCCGTCATATCTTCCTCGGACCTCTCTTGTACATGGAGAACCCGCCAATCTACTTGCCTGCGAAAGGAAACGAAGTCGTCATCGACTACTATGCGAGCGCCCACGATGATTCAAACGCCACCAACGAAGGCGATATCGAGAAGCAAGCGGTCAAGACCGAGGGTGGCAACGACAGAGGCGAGAAGCTGGTCGGGAACGATAGCAACTCTGATGCACCCTCCCCCGTCCCGATGTCTCTAGAGGACGTTGAGCGCGGAAAGAAAGGACCAGAGAACCCAGCAGTTGTTCAGCGATACAAGCGCATGCCTGAGCCCGAAGAGCGCTTCCTTGCCCCGACCGCCCACCTCCCTATCCACAATCCTAGACGCATCTGGAGCTTCATCAAGTACTTCTTCCTGCAGGGAGTCACTCGCGACTGCGTCACGCACGCCTCGTCCCAGCTCGCTGCCATCCACGGCAAGGCCAAGAAATACGATAACCGCGTCGAGCACTTGTGGACCTACGCGCAGGTTGCCAGTGCGATGATGATGTCCATCGCCCACGGTTCCAACGATGTTGCAAACGCCGTCGGGCCTTGGGTCGCTGCCTATCAGGTTTACATGACAGGCGAAGTCAGTGAGGAGGGAGAAACTCCGATCTGGATCTTGGTTGTCGCCGGCTTCTTGCTCGGTGCGGGTTTCTGGTTCATGGGCCACCACATTATCAAGGCAATGGGAAATAAGCTCACTCAGCTTTCGCCCACAAGAGGTATACCAGTCCCCTATCGAAGATCATTCCTTGTGACTGACACCGCTTTCAGGATTCGCCATGGAACTCGGCGCTGCGATTACCGTGCTTTTGGCCAGCCGTCTCGGTCTCCCCGTCAGTACCACCCAGTGCTTGACTGGAGCTGTTATTGGTGTGGCACTGATGAACTTTGACGTTGGCGCTGTAAATTGGCGCCAGGTTGCTTTCATCTTCTCGGGCTGGATCGTCACATTGCCCTGCGCGGGTCTCATCGGTGGTTTGCTCATGGCGATGTCGCTCAACACTCCCCAATTTGGCCAGGGCTAAAACCGTTCGACGCAATCTTGCACGAACAAGGAGCATGGGAATGGCGTTGATGGTTTAAAGTGGGATACTCATGAATCGGGGCTCACGTAAGAGGCATTCGATGACAGAATCATGCCTCGAATATCAATTCAATTATGACAAAAGTTTTCATCTTGCACGTCGCTCTCGATCGCTCCTGTATCAACACGGCCCTCGGTAACTTCAATGTCTAACGATGTTGCAACCATATGCTGATTGCTCTCAGCATTGCATCTGAGTTACCTAGACAACCACCACAATGGAGGTTCTCGGTACCCGACGAAATACTTACTTCCTGTGTAGATCCCTAAACTGATGCTTATTGGTATCCGAGCCATGGGCTTCGTATCTATGTGGTACTATCAATTCTGTCTACTTAGATTGAGGGAGCCACCGAGCCAGAGATACACGGGAGTATATCATAATCCATTTTTCTTTCATCTATCAGCCTATTAGTATAATTACTTGATGTTGGAGAGTGCCGAACTTCTGATCTTAATAGTGAAATATGGTCTCTTTAAAGTGCGCAGAATATTTCCAGGCTATGGCGACTGCCACACATCAAACAGAATGGTTGGGCTTCGCGGTAGATGATGTACCTACTTGTCTTACAGCCGCTGGCTCTAACGTTTGATATCGTCATGCCGAGTGCTAGCTTCGGATACGGGTACATTTATCGCATTCAATGGAAGCATAAAAATTGTCAAGAATCTACCTTGAAATCCTTGAAAATGACCATCACAGCTCAGAAGCCGAATGATTCGTTGCCAGAAAGTTTGTTTCTCTCGATGAGAGAAACAACCAGTGAAGTGGTCAACAGAGCG